TACTGGGAGTATTATTGCTGTGGAGCTCTGTTATACACTCAGACACGCTACTGGGAGACATGTTGTGGAGCTCTGTTATACACTCAGACACGCTATTGGGAGTATTAGTAGTGGAACTCTGTTATACACTCAGACACGCTACTGGGAGTATTATTTAAGGGTGGGAGCTCTGTTATACACTCAGACACACACTGGGAGTATTATTACTGTGGAGCTCTGTAATACACTCAGACACATTACTGGAGTATTATTGCTGTGGAGCTCTGTTATACACTCAGACACATTACTGGGAGTATTATTGCTGTGGAGCTCTGTTATACACTCAGACACGTTACTGGGAGTATTATTGCTGTGGAGCTGAGTTATACACTCAGACACGCTACTGGGAGTATTATTGCTGTGGAGCTGAGTTATACACTCAGACACATTACTGGGAGTATTATTGCTGTGGAGCTGAGTTATACACTCAGACACGTTACTGGGAGTATTATTGCTGTGGAGCTCTGTTATACACTCAGACGTGTTACTGGGAGTATTATTGCTGTGGCGCTCTGTTATACACTCAGACACATTACTGGGAGTATTATTACTGTGCAGTTCTGTTATACACTCAGACACATTACTGGGAGTATGATTGCTGTGGAGCTCTGTTATACACTCAGACACATTACTGGGAGTATTATTGCTGTGGAGCTCTGTTACACTCAGACACATTACTGGGAGTATTATTGCTGTGGAGCTCTGTTATACACTCAGACACATTACTGGGAGTATTATTGCTGTGGAGCTCTGCTATACACTCAGACACATTACTGGGAGTATTATTGCTGTGGAGCTCTGTTATACACTCAGACACATTACTGGGAGTATTATTGCTGTGGAGCTCTGTTATACACTAAGACACGTTACTGGGCCTATTATTGCTGTGGAGCTCTGTTATACACTCAGACACGTTACTGGGAGTATTATTGCAGTGGAGCTCTGTTATACACTTAGACACGTAACTGGGAGTATTATTGCTGTGGAGCTCTGTTATACTCTCAGACACATTACTGGGAGTATTATTGCTGTGGAGCTCTGTTATAAACTCAGACACATTACTGGGAGTATTATTGCTGTGGGGCTCTGTTATACACTCAGACACTTACTGGGAGTATTATTGCTGTGGAGCTCTGTTATACACTCAGACACGTTACTGGGAGTATTATTGCTGTGGAGCTGAGTTATACACTCAGACACATTACTGGGAGTATTATTGCTGTGGAGCTCTGTTATACACTCAGACACATTACTGGGAGTATTATTGCAGTGGAGCTCTGTTATACACTCAGACACATTACTGGGCGTAGTATTGCCGTGGAGCTCTGTTATACACTCAGACACATTACTGGGAGTATTATTGCTGTGGAGCTCTGTTATACACTCAGACACATTACTGGGAGTATTATTGCTCTGGAGCTCTGTTACACACTCAGACACATTACTGGGATTATTATTGCTCTGGAGCTCTGTTATACCCTCAGACACATTACTGGGAGTATTATTGCTGCTGAGCTCTGTTATACCCTCAGACACATTACTGGGAGTATTATTGCTGTGGAGCTCTGTTATACACTCAGACACATTACTGGGAGTATTATTGCAGTGGAGCTCTGTTATACACTCAGACACATTACTGGGAGTATTATTGCTGTGGAGCTCTGTTATACACTCAGACACATTACTGGGAGTATTATTGCTGTGGAGCTCTGTTATACACTCAGACACATTACTGGGAGTATTATTGCTGTGGAGCTCTGTTATACACTCAGACACATTACTGGGAGTATTATTGCTGTGGAGCTCTGTTATACACTCAGACACATTACTGGGAGTATTATTGCTGTGGAGCTCTGTTATACACTCAGACACATTACTGGGAGTATTATTGCTGTGGAGCTCTGTTATACACTCAGACACATTACTGGGAGTATTATTGCTGTGGAGCTCTGTTATACACTTAGACACATTACTGGGAGTATTATTGCTGTGGAGCTCTGTTATACACTCAGACACATTACTGGGAGTATTATTGCTGTGGAGCTCTGTTATACACTCAGACACATTACTGGGAGTATTATTGCTGTGGGGCTCTGTTATACACTCAGACACATTACTGGGAGTATTATTGCTGTGGAGCTCTGTTATACACTCAGACACATTACTGGGAGTATTATTGCTGTGGAGCTCTGTTATACACTCAGACACATTACTGGGAGTATTATTGCTGTGGAGCTCTGTTATACACTCAGACACATTACTGGGAGTATTATTGCAGTGGAGCTCTGTTATACACTCAGACACATTACTGGGCGTAGTATTGCCGTGGAGCTCTGTTATACACTCAGACACATTACTGGGAGTATTATTTCTGTGGAGCTCTGTTATACACTCAGACACATTACTGGGAGTATTATTGCTGTGGAGCTCTGTTATACACTCAGACACATTACTGGGAGTATTATTGCGTGGAGCTCTGTTATACCCTCAGACACATTACTGGGAGTATTAGTGCTGTGGAGCTCTGTTATACCCTCAGACACATTACTGGCAGTATTATTGCTGTGGAGCTCTGTTATACACTCAGACACATTACTGGGAGTATTATTGCTGTGGAGCTCTGTTATACACTCAGACACATTACTGGGAGTATTATTACTGTGGAGCTCTGTTATACACTCAGACACATTACTGGGAGTATTATTGCTGTGGAGCTCTGTTATACTCTCAGACACATTACTGGGAATATTATTGCCGTGGAGCTCTGTTATACACTCAGGCACATTACTGGGAGTATTATTACCGTGGAGCTCTGTTATACACTCAGACACATTACTGGGAGTATTATTGCTGTGGAGCTCTGTTATACAATCAGACACATTACTGGGAGTATTATTGCTGTGGAGCTCTGTTATACACTCAGACACATTACTGGGAGTATTGTTGCTGTGGGGCTCTGTTATACACGCAGACACATTACTCTGAGTATTATTGCTGTGGAGCTCTGTTATACACTCAGACACATTACTGGGAGTATTATTGCTGCGGAGCTCTGTTATACACTCAGACACATTACTGGGAGTATTGTTGCTGTGGGGCTCTGTTATACACTCAGACACATTACTGGGAGTATTATTGCTGTGGAGCTTTTCTATCCTAAGAGAGACATTAGGATAGAAAGGAGTGACAGAGGGATTTGGGCCCAAAATAGGGACACTTGGGAGGTATGTGATGAGGAAAGGTTCTCTATTAGTAAGCCACAGAGAATGCTTATCACATTAACAGAGTTGCAGGAAAATCAGGCATTGTGCTAATATGATCTCAACTCTCAAATAACATGAAAGGGCTCCATTATGCTAGAGGGGAAATCATGCAAATAATAAACAACTTTCTAATGAGCTAAATCATCTTCCCTCTCTACCAGTCTCATTTGTGTTCTCTTAATGAGTTTGAGACCTCTGTGTCGGGGTAGCTCATAATAGCTGAGGGAGAGCAAATATCAGAGAGTAAACTACCAAACCTCTCCAAAATGTGGTATTTGGACCTCTCGCAATATTTAATATTTCACTACTTAAAACAGCCACGATTTAACCTACCATACTGGCTTATCTGGGTGTTTATTCCCGGACGATCTAGCCATGGAGATGAGGTCAGTGTCATAGCCGACACAGATCCCCAACGTTGCCGTAACGTCACATCAAATACAGAATGTCATAGGAGAGGCTTCTTGGTCAATAGACTCCATATCGGCAGCAGAAGTAAATGTTAAATAGATTTCGAGGGGTCCTGCCCTCCCCCCCCCCGCCCATTATTTCCATACCAAAATTAAAATAAAACAAGTTAAAATGTCAGTATTATTGTCTTTCACCCTCCTTTCCAATAACATGATTTTATTCTGTTTGATTGTCATTGTAAGGTTATTCCATTTCATTAAACCCATTCGATTATAGGTTTAAAAGATGCATAACAAGTAAACATATATTTAAAGCCAGCAGTCATTAATGATGTGTGCTATCTCTGCAGATATAATGCCCTCTTCGATAGGTGTACTACGAGACCCACCAACACATAGCAGAATTTGTTACATGGTAATTCAGATCTTTTTCTTGTTGGACAAATATAAATCAATAGGAAATGAAATAGAGACTGACAAAATCCCGAACTATCAGCACATTGGACCAGAGACCAATGAAATGGGGATGGCACAGTATATGAACAAGGAGACCTGGAGATACTTTATCCCATCGCTCCGCAGGGTGGAGGGGAGCTAGATAACATTGAACATCTTACAAAATTCTTGCACTCACTCACTCACTCACTAATCACCAGCTTCAAAGCTCACATGTAATAATGTTTAAAAACCTGACTTAGGTAAAAATAATGGGGGTTTAGTTACAGTATATGATAATACATTGCATAAGCCTGCCACAGCGTTACTGTACCTTATTCTTGGCAGGTCCTATTCTAGCGACCTAACGTCTGTTCTTATGGGATTAACACAGTTACTTACGAACCCATCCTCCTGGGGCTCTCTGGAGTGCAAGGTTAAATAGGGCACTGGACTGGGGTATCCGTGACAGGGAGGGGAGCAGAACCATGGGAGTTGGCCTGGACTCACAAATATATATAAAACCAATAGGGTTACTCCCCTAAACATGCATACATTATAAGTAGGGTTGCCAGATCATCCATGGTTTCACGGACACATTCCGTATACATATTGATGGGCAGCACATTGGTAGGGTTGCCCTGTAGTATGTAGAATTCAGAAGAAGGTGTATAAGAGTAAGTAATTAGGTAATGAAGAATCCTGCACAATATTCATTATACACACTGCCGGGCCACCTTTTTCACGCATTTTCATAAATATGACGACATTCTATGTGTCCCTGAAAACATGGTGGATCTGATAACCCTAATTATAAGGGTGCTACTGGGCCAAACAATACACTATCCAGCGCACTCACTCTCTAAACAGCAACTTCAAACTAATTTTATTTTTTTAAACACCTGGCATGGCAAAGATCATGGAGGTTTAATTACAATATATGATAAGCCTGAAAATCTCCCACTTCTTTTTATTTGTCTCGCCCCACCACGCATTCATCCTTGGGGCGGCCAATGCTTTCTTATTCATGTGTTTTTAATGCGCTGAAAGGGATAGTGTAGTTACAGAAAGTTAGCCGAGGTGTCAGGGGAGAGGAGAAATATAAGGGATATAAAACTATTATTCTCGTTCTGGATCAGGAAGCAGAGCATTATATGTTTTTACAGTTTTTATGAAATAAGAGAGGACGACTTGGTTTTCCCAGTGTAAAACTAAAAACGTCCAGTAAATTATTGGATTTTTTTCGTAACAATAAATACTAAACCTTATCACTTGCTTGGGTAGTATCTTAATGAATTTACGGTCAAACCTTAGGGAGCTGAGGGAGGAGAATGAGAAGAGGATTAAATAAATGATGGGATATAAACTCAGATGAGCTCCGGCCATTGCTATCAGACTTTACATCATGAGATTTTAGGATAGTAAGAGAGGCTCGGTACACATTTAATGTATTAGCAGAGTAAGCCTCGGGATAAATTCAGGATTTCATTCCACTGAATCTAAAGAGATTTACTCACTCAATTCACATATTCACAGCGATCGCTTGAACTTTGCATAGCCAACCATTTTAAGGTGCTTTGAGGGGCCCCTTTTATTCATTTATTTTGTAGATAAATTGTAAATATGGCAATAAATCATTGTGATATCTCAAAGGTTTTTTGTTAATGCTGAGCATTAAACCATATCCATTATACGAAAGACTCGGCAGATCCATATCTGAAAAGGAGATTTAAGATATTTTTAATTTCTTCTGGTCCTTAATCTACAATATTAAACACTGGTAGAGGCTTAGAACAACAAATGATAAAGGACTTTTTACTCCAGAATATATCTTCCAGATAGGGCCAGAGAAGCTTTGGATATTCAACTCTACAATTTCTTCACTTATTAAAGCAAAATCTATTGGCAGAAGTTCAGACGGGATGATTTAACAGCACATTATTATACGGAATTCCTACATATCCAGAGCCCGCATTTTATAGCAAATGTAAAATGGCAATGACATCCCCCCTTCTAACAACAGATTCAAGTTATTCTTCGTTCATTCAATGCCAAAATGACATGTGATAGAGTTGGATATAATATTATATTCTCTACTTTAAATGGTTTTGGATACAGTCTGAACATGTATATATTGAATAAAATTCTTATACTGCACGCCTTCTGCGAGACTCGTAAACATAGATTTCACTAACTAAACCATCGTCACTCCGGAACGGTACAAGGCACGGGTGTCCACTAGCTGCTTCTTATTTTAACTTTGGATACCGCACTGAATGCTATTAGTGAATATCTCATCATATGCGCTATAAAAAGGGAAAGCTTGTTTTTTATAGTAATAAAATGTAATTATAGAAAATGACAGATTATGCGTCGTACCCAAGGTCATGGGCATAGACAGTACTCTGCAATCCATGAATACAGATTTTATTTAAGCTGTACACAATGTATTTAGTTGTAAAGCGGAAACATATGCCATGATGTTGTACAGTTTGCACATTTAAATCTCTGACCTGCTTCACAGCATGAAACATTATCTATTGAGACAATGTTATAAACCAGTAACTACTGATTCTGTAAACACAATAAGGGAGTTAGGTAATTATAGGTCATGGAAATCATTCCTAATTAGATAATTGTAGGTCTCATTGTAAATTAACACAATACATTTAAAGGTTACATTCTAAGTACCATAACTACTTAAGCTTATTATTATTGTGGGTGTGGAAAAACCGAGTCTCTGGGCACAGTATCACCTTTTTTTAACTGTTTTGAACAGGGTTGTTGAAAAAAAAAAAAAAACACAGTTCTCCTGGCACTTGATGCCCGGCCATTTCCTCCTTCTTAGTTAATGAATTTCTGCCAGTTTAGTTTGATCACCACCACTTGTACTTGCAGCCAATCATTGCTTTCCAGATCTGGAGAGCTTTAGATGGATATTGCGTCTGAGGGGCCAAGTAATGGCGCTGAGACAGCCTGGGTTTTGTCAAACTGTTTAAAAATTGTTTGTAGAATATGGAAACTACTTGCGCTACTGAGCTCAAGTGGTTATGGTGCTAAGTGTCCCTTTAATGATTTTCATAAAAAGGGGAATTGCATGAAGGAGTAAGAGGTGAGATTTGCTTTTACTGTGTCACAATCAATAGCTTTTCATGTGGGAGAGGGGTAGATTCTGCATGCCATATTGCCTTATCAGGAGGAAGAGATAAGTACACTGTGTGGCACAGAGTTCTCCTCTCCTGCTGTCTTGCATAGTTTTATAGTCTCATGTCAGGCCTCCACTTACCACAAGCAGCACCCTGGCAGCCCCGTGTAGCCAAATCTCTGTTACTGCAAATGGAAATATGAATGCCATCTCCCCAATGTGCGCATGCATACTAGGACTTTCAGGCGCAGCTGTTTAACAGTTATTCATTGTCCTAGTGTGGTTTATAGCCTTCTTGTGTCAAATTTTTATATTTGTGGGGGTCCTAGGAGTCCTTGACATTTGCATTGACAGAGGGCTTGTTCACGAAACATTTGCCATAAAGCCTTGTCCTTCAATAAAAGTTTGGTAGCACTGTGGTGTGCACACTCAATGTGGTTGGGCAGACCTCACTTCCTTCTATTTACTAAAGTCATTAGTGCTAACACTATATCCGGCTATATGGGAAAAGACTAACTAGATCTGAATAAAAAGTGATACTTTAAACAGGAAACTTGCTGGTTAGGGCACATTGAGAAACTGAAATGTAATCTCACAATTAACAAATCTTAATTCTGCGTGCTTGATAAAGCGCTATTACAAGAAAAAAATGATGATGATGCAAATGTTTTCCATTATACAATTCTGATATCTCCAATTTTTTATTTTTTCCCCCAAATCCTCACATACTTCAAGAACCCATAAGATCATAACATTTGTGTAAGAGTCCCATGAGAATTGTAACTCTACATCGTATATCCTCATCACAGCATTATTAGTAAGAGTTTCTTCAATGGCTGTAAACGTATCCTTTAAACCTGGCCTTTTTGACCTATGCCTGGAGAACCATTATCACAGTATGCTTTGCCTCCCACTATTCATGCAGTTCATGTTTGTATTGTATAATGTCCATCGGTGGGTTCTCTGATTATTACTATTATTTTATTATTTATATAGCGCCATCAGATTTCGTAGCACTGTTCAATGTGGACTAAAAGACATGTAATTGTAACCAGACAACTAGACGTACAGGAGCCCTGCTCAATGAGCTTACATTCTGAAGTACTGTGAAAGGCACTTGTACAGGTTTTTTTAGGCTAAGCATTATATGGACCTCTGGGCGAAGTCCTACATTTTGAACTTGATCAGAACATATGCTTGTTTTAAATGAGACAGGTTGAACAGAGAATAGGTCAAGACAGAGGATTCTGGGAAGGACCGGAATGATTGTCACAGCATAATGGTGGCTAAGTGTAATTTTGCTGTATTAGTGGAAATTAAACAGTTTATAATTACAGATTAAGTTTTTTTCTTAAAGTTCTCAGGTGTAAGACATTGTGTGAATAGTTTTATTTAACATTTAAACAGCACTCCCCTGCTCTGGCAGAACAATGATCTGAAATGTCTGGAACAAATCTAGCTGCAATAATGACTGGGCTCCTGTCCAAATCTAGATCCGGTTGGACGGTTAGATAGAGTGTGTGCAGCCTGCTCGGCAAGGTACACCATGGGCTGTAGATCATAGGGGGATGGGCAGGGGAGAAAACTAATAAAGGCCAGAGTAGAAAGAGTGTCTGAGCCTTAGATGTTTTAGACAAGGAAGACCAGGAAGGTGGTCAAAACGTTGTCTCTTAATCCGTGACCTGGATGCAGGTAAAAGTAGGGGTCTGTTCACTAAACAAGTGACATAAAGTCATCATAATTATGTAGTTTTCCAACTTGGCTATTTTAGGCTGATTTTGTAAATCAATCATTTTCTTTCCTGAATGTTGTATTTTAGGTTTGTTTGTGGTAGTTCGGTGTTTAGTGAATAATTCCCTATGGGTGTTCAGTAGGCTACGCGTGGTTAAAATGGTCAGCTTAGATCACAAGCTCTGCAGCTGTGACACACCTTGCTCTCTGATAACCTCATAAACACAGAGACACGAGTCTGTAAGGCTTAGCCACAGTTTTGCATAAAACACAAATTTTGTTTATATCAAAACCTCATAAACACATCTCACCCTTCACAGTCACAGCTTGGAATACAATGGAGAGGAGACACAGAAGGGAGTTAGACATTGATATGTGTTGTAATGAGGGGATATTACCACAATATGGGCACATGTGTGCTTTAAACATGAGACATAATCTGGTAGATAGGAGAAAGTCAAACTGGCCAGTCTGAATCAGAAGAGGGAGTCATGGGTCAGATAATAATTTATTGGTTGTTTTTTTTTAGCTGTCAGTAATGCCTTAATATAAATGTATCTAATAAATAAAAGCATAGTGAGAAAGAATATCAGAAACATATATGAATGTTAGTTACTTGCTTATTTTGCCTTTTTTTTCCTGCATTTAAATGGGCATTTAATGTCAAGCATGCGCTAATTCAGCCGTGTCAACATGTCCGGATCTTTCTTACCCATCACAACTCAAAACAGAGGGCATGGGCTTTGGATGCAAGGTGTTTTAAACTTGAGGCACTGTAACCGTAGCCTCCTTGCACCATAACTGCTACAGTCTGTGTTTGCAGTGTCATATCAAGCCGGTATTGGGAACTGCAAAAAGACACAGAAAAGGGACAATCCTGACACATTTAAACCCAAAGATGTATTCTAATTGGCTGCTTTGATGCTTTCAGCCAATCCTAACACAGCTCCAGATATGGTCACTGACATATACACTGACTGATACAGTAATGACAGCCCCCATCTCCTATTGTTTGTAGAGTGAAGGAAACAAATTAGCAGGTTTCCCTATGTTCAAATTCATTTGTTTTACCCAACATTTAATGCTGGACTCTTGCAAAGTGTGAAACACTATATTACATTTATAGTAAGGATGTTCTAAATGTATTTCCCAGGCTCACAAAGAATTGTAAGATTGTAGTTCTACAACACCCGGGGATCACCTGATGGCCGTCCCAGAAAGTCTACATCTGGGGTCCTCAAACTCCGCCCCCCCCCACAGATGTTGCTGAACTACAACTCCCATTATTCTCTGGCTATCTATGTAAATCATGGGAGTTGTAGTTCAGCAACATCTGGAGGGCCACAGTTTGAGGACTCCTGACAGTCTACATGATAGCTGGTAAAGGCATTGATTAGTAACAGGGGATAATACAAAAATCTGAGGAATATTTATCAAACTGAAGTTATCTGAAAATTGGTGCAAAGTTGTTAAAGTGAAGCAATCACCACTGGTTTCCATGGTGATTACTTCACATTTAGAACTTTTACCACTTTTTAGATTGTGACACTTTCATAAATCTCCCTCCTTGTGGAACACAAACTGGAAACAAATGAGACTTTTCAATGAAATGCCTTGAAAAAAGGAAATTTATCATAGTTACTTTCCATCTTAACGTTATGTTTCCATTCAGCTACTAAACATCACACCATGGGTTAGTTAGAGATCCAAGTCACACGTTAGCACAATGTGCGCACAGCGTGAAAGGAACAAACACTGTCTGTTGGCCTTCTATGGGGTGGCACGTCCACCACCACCATGAAGATCATTTCTCTCAGTTACACACGAGATAGGTCTTTTGTGCTGGCCCAGGGCAATTGACCAAGTTCTGGAATTTGGACTCATCCCCCTGTCAAAGAAAGAGACATTGGTATTATTTATTCTTTATTTGTTATCAGCACATCTGTCTGTCCATCTCCTGCAGGAAATGTCACAGCTGGAACCGGAGAGTTTGGTTAAAGTGAATGCCTAGATTGTAACTTAAGTTAAATGGCCAATAATTCCTTAATAAAACTATGTGAAAACTGATGTTACATTTCATGGAATGAACCTGCTCTAAAGTACTTGGTAAATTAGCATGAAATCTCACATCTGGGTTTAAAAGCTCACAACACACACTTCTCGCATACACATACACAATGGGATCCAAGGCTCGCATACACATACACACAGGGATTCAATGTTCACATACACATACACACTGGTATTTTAAAGCTCACATGCACACTTTTTATAAATTCTTCATATACACACTGATTTTCAATGATTGTGTAATTGTGATTATGGGGCATGAATTATGTAGTCAGTGTCATGTAAGTTTGTGTAATAGACCTGGATAAAGAGATCTGGAGTAGAGCCAGGTTCGGTATATTAATTTTTTTTTAAACTATTATTCATACTGTAAGGGATTTGGGTTTTACTGCTGCTTTAAACGGACACAATACGCAACAAAACAACTGTAGCTTAATGAAGCAGTTTTGGTGTATAGATCATGCTCCTGCAGTCTCTTCCTATAGAAAAGCATTGTGATAGGCGGAGATCATCGATACTGATGATGTCAGCCAAGGAAGGGGATCGGGACAGAGCCAGCGCAGGTGGACCCGCGCAGTTCTAGAAACAAGGTAAGTTTTACTAGCTTTAAGGCGACAAGAGGGGGAGGCGGGGGGCTAAATAGTTAGTTTAACACTATGGGGTCAAGAATGCAAGTTTGTGTCTTTGTCCCTATAGTGTTCCTTTACAATGGACAGCTACCATGTGCTTGTTAAGGTCCTGTTATAATGTTTTACAGCCTTTAAAAATTGGTCAGTTATTTTTTTAAATCTATTTTCATACACTTTATTCGTTTGTTTTTTTGTTTTGTTTTTTATTTGCTTTAATTTTCAGACAGGTATTGAGAATATCTTTTTTTAGAATATTGAGAATACAATAGACCTGTCAATGAATTCAACTGAGTGCCAGAGGGTTGTGCAAAGTCAAACCATCTCGTTTAAACATTGCTTTGGTTGAGCAAGTGTTCTGTATGTTCTGGGAGCAGTAGTTCAGCCATGGCTAATACGTTTCATGCTGATTACCCCTGATCTTCAGCGTATAGATTATATCTTTAAGGTGTTTCTCATCCCCTACTATCACCCAGCAACAACATTTATAGAGACATTAATGGAGAATATGATAGGAAAAAGGCTATTTATGCCATACGCTCAATTAGTCATGAAAGAATCCAAAGACCCGTAAAGAAATATGGAATATACGTGTTTGAGAGTTACCTGGGTGTGACAGGTGGCAGGGCAATGACGCGAGGACGAGCTGTAAGCGCCACTTCTCCTCGGTTGGCTTCAATTAGTATATTCTGTAAAGTGTTCTCCAGTACAGACTGCGCCAGGAAACTGAACGCTGGGGACCTGAGGACAAAGTCTGATGGTGAAACATTTGCTGATATGTGGGGACATATAACATACACCTGCTCCAGTGAAACATGGCTTGGAGGGGCACTAAAACATTAACTCAGGGTCAATTTCAAATTTAAAGTCAAAATAGTCAAACTGAAAAAATTCTCCAAGTCAGTAATGCTTTCAGTTCGGATACTCTGGCCTTAAATTTCAAATTCACTTTGAATTCTCACTGTAGGAAATAATCATGTAAAACATAAACTGTTAGGTAAAGGTGAAGGGAATGGCACGTTATAACAGCCAATCAGAATATCCCACTTTATTAAACAAATAGTTATTTAAACGTTATTTGAATGTGAGCCAAGCCTGGCATCTTCCCTTGATTCTGTGCATGTGATGTGTGAGCACATGTGACATCATGAAAAATGATACCCAGCATTCAAGGAAAATGGAAAATGGAAGGTGCTAATCATTTAAACATTCTACAGAAGTAGGTGTGTTTCATACTTCCCTCCGCTGCACGTCTCACTCCAGTAAAAGATCAATTAGGACCTACTGTAGCCATCACCAAGGGTTAATGGGGAGAACGTTCCCCTTTATATGCCCATTTCATGAAATCCAGAGACCAGAGAAAGATAAATCAAAATAGCAGATCTCATCAGTACAGTGCAGTGAGCAAGGGGTGGAGTGTGCATTAACTGTTAAACAGCAGGTTACTATAAGAATATGCAAATTGTCCAAAACAAAGTGTGTAAGAGATATTTATAACTATCAGTAGCTTAAATGGACACTTTACTGCCAAATAAAAACTAAATCAAGATCACTGTATAGCAGATATACCTCCAATAAAAACCTGCATTTTATTTAATTGGGGGTATAAAAACAGCTTACAGGCTCTTTACAAACCCTTCTAACCTCGTCCAGATTTTCTGTCCAATCACAGACTTCCCAATGCAGCTCAATGAGAATTCTTTGCAAGGCAGGTGCTCAGAGCAATTGCTGCCTCATGAGTTTATCTTCAATGAGCTAAACAACCAGGAAGTGACAGGACCGGTTGTCTGATTGACAGCCAGGGGGGGTGTAACAAAGTTTATTTATAAAAGTGACAATTTCTATTGAAATCTGCACTTTTTGCAAAATGAAAAAAAGGACACACTCTTCACACAGTACTTCAGCAAGTCAATGTGTTTTCAAGGTCAGGAAGTGTTCCTGTAATAGCTTGCCCTAAGGGTAGACACCCATGATTGTCTGAGGCTCATGTTATAGGTTTCTTACGTAAAGTCACAAGTGAGCCAACGTTGATCCTGTGGAGTTGGTGAATACATATAGGACAATAAAGGATGCTCTTATGCTATTGGACTAGAGAAATGAATTATACAACCAAAAAACCCATGTCAGGTCAGAATCTATTATGCCAGAGTTAAAAATGTTCCTTCAAAAGCTCAGTTCACTCCCATTAGAGCTTCTGGTGAATACAATAAAACCCATTGTTAATATATTTTCATTTAAGGTCAATAAAATCATTAGACGATAAAGGGCAAATGCAACTACAAGAGGATCAGACGTTATTGCTTAGAAAATTACATTAAGGTAATCGGGACTGCCAATATTTGGGGGATCTTTATAGGTAAAGGGGGTTATGTATGTGTTTCAGGTTCTCAAGCAGTTCTAGATACAAGCCAACCACAGTTTCCCATGTGAGGAACACTGCCAAAGTGTTGACATATGGGAAGATATGCTTTGCATTGGCCTCATGCAGCAAGTGTGTTTAATGACGAGCTCCTTGCACTTTCTTGGAGCATTTTCCTTGAGACTGCCCAAAGCACTAAACTGGAAAAAAAACAGGGACATCAAGTCATGAAAAAGAACTGAATGATACGTTTTCAGTAAAAGCTTGCCAGTTAAAGGCTGGTCACACTAATTATTACGTGATGTGAGGCACTCAGTAACTAGTTTCTGTGCCAATAGACTCTGACATTTAGTAAATTTCAAACAGAATGCATCCTGCATCCTGCTTCCCTCTGTCATGTGAAGGTTCAGGGAAACCCAAAGCTGACTGATCAGGTGCTAAAACTATGAATATGAGAAAACTGTGGTTGAAACTGTGTGAAAAATAATTATCACTATTTTATAAAACAGATCAATGGTCTGGAGAAACAAAGATTTATTACCTATTTACTAAACTCCAAGCTGAAACAAACTGAAATCCAAATATAAAAATTTAAACAATAGCTGATCTGCAGCTGATCTAACAGCTTTGCTATTTTGATTTGAATTCAGCAGAATTCAGAGCTGAGTCAATAAACCTCTGAATAGAAAACTAAAAAACGAGAATAATAATAATAATAATAATAATAGTAGCACCAGCGTGGGGTGACACTGCCACCTAGTGAAAAACGATCACGGCTTGTCTTGTTAAACGGACATGCAGGTTTATTAACTCAATGAGGGCTGTATAATCAACTACTAGGAAATTGCAAATTTTAGGCAAAAATAGCTAATGTGGAAAATAACCGAATGGAAATTAATTTCCATTGAGATATTTTGGTGTAAAATGTACAATCCCCAGTCCTTTCCTGACAAATTCTAATTTTGTGGGTAAACTCACGGTTCTAGACACGCACTGTGAGTATCCAATTTAATAGGTTCAAACTAAAAGCCAAAATCAGAAAACGTCCAGCAAGCAGCAGTTCTGAGAGCAGGACCTCAGGACAATGAAATCGTCCTATCTGGGGGAAATGGTACAGGCTGATGGTAACGGTGTAATGACGTAAAATAATCCCAGACAGTATACTGCAAGGAGTTCTGTAAGTGATGATTGGAAATGCAGGTGTGAGCAAAGGACCAGAGAAAGTCATTTGAGATCTAGAAAGGGATGCATTAACAAGGGATGGAGGAGAGTCAACAGGGATTATAGCTCAGACGCTGACCAGCTGGGCCCACATGAGAGATCAACCCCATATCTCCCCTGTACCAAGTCCGCTGCTTCCCATCACTTACAACCCAACAATAGGAGGGGGCTTCCTGACGACGGCATGGCCATTCGCGGAGGGCCGCGAATACGTACCCATCTCCACGGTTCTGCGAGATGGCAACATGCGAACTTTAAACTCCCTGCTAGGAGAAACACCTCTTACACCCTTGGTAACGCTCCGGTATATGCAGGTCCGCCACTACTAAAACACCATGAGCAATAAAGAAAAACTACACAGGGACCTTACCTGGTTTGAAACGAGATGTGAACGTGGCTCCTCGCTAGACAAAACCGTATCCACCTTATACCAACATCTCCTGGTGGGTAACCTAGCGGAAAACAACACCTTCCGTAGACAATGGGAGACTCTGATGGATACCACCTTTACCCCCCAACAGTGGGAGGGCGCATTATTCTGGCAACACAAAAGCTCCATTAGCACCCACTACCAAGAGACGAATTACAAATTAATCGCACTTTGGTACAAGACACCGATACTACTCCACAGAATTTTCCCTACAATACCACCGACATGCTGGAGATGTCTCGAGGAAAGAGGCACGATAATACACATATGGTGGGATTGTCGCCTCATAGTCCCATACTGGGAGATGATCCGAGAGAAAATAGCAGAGATATTGGGAGAAACACCCGAGTGGGTGGCAACACTGCCCCTTCTACATATTTCAACAATGTCGATTGCCGCATACAAGAAATCAATTTTACGTCATCTACTTAATGCAGCCAAAGCTTTGATCCCGCTATACTGGAAACGGACGGAGACGCCCCGACTGGAAGAATGGATCCGCAGGGTGGAGGACATTCAGGGGGCAGAGGCGATCCAGGCTTCACTTCTTGGGAGGAGAGACAGACACGCAGAAATGTGGCGACCATGGTATACATTCGTGTCTCAGAGCAACTAGAGATAAGCAGCCTGTGGGGGGACACCCTGGGAGGGAGGGTGACTCACTGGGGCATGGCCATTTATACCTCCTCTCACTCCCCCAATTCGAACTGCATCCGAGGCGAGCGACAACTCTTTTTTCCTCCAATTCTTTTCTTCTTACCCTACTACTAAACATTTCTTTAATTTTCACTTATAATTTTTAACACATATACGCACTTATTAGGATGGGGCATGAACACCCCAGCAAAAGGAAACTGCCCTGTAATAGGAACGCATCAGATCAAATACGTACAACAAAAACGGTAACCACTCATCCCTGCCTATCGGGTCTCTTGGAACGACCCACAAACATAAGCGCACCCACCATCCCCCTCCCCCTTTTAGGGTAGGCTAGAGGAGATGGCCCACTTTCAGAATGACCATACACTCACCAGCAGTGCCCACGGATCCATAATGATACATAAAGGGAGCCGGGGACGTCACACAAAGTCTCCTGAACTACCCTAGCCCAGCCTGGCACACGCCTTGAGTGAGCACAACTACGAAAGCTACCAAAGGACCCATTAGCTGTAGGACACGCTCAGGAACACATAACCAAAGGGGTGGTCGATAGTCCCACGTACTGATGGTAGGGTGATGAAGATAGCTTAATACCCCATAGTGCTCTGACCAAAATTGTATGTGTCTTTGCGGTCTCTAGAGCAGACAGCTTCAGCCGTATAATACTACTATGTCCGTTAGAACCTTCCTATGTAAATTTCCTTTGTTCACAAATGCATAACGTTATAATACCTGGGACCTGCGCGTCCATATTGTTTCAATTCTACATCTGTTTTAAATGAATATACGAAACACAAAAACTCAATAAAAGAGATTTACAAAAAAAATAGAAAGGGATGCATTGTTGTTGAGAACTTTGCAGGAATTGATCCTTGAGGTTTCTACAAAGCAATGTAAGGATAGGCACAAGGGGAGGGTTAGTGAAGAGCGATGGGTAAGAAAGAAAAACTTGGCAGCAGAATTTAGTATGGATTGTGATAGGGTAATACAGGCCTGAGGAACGTTGATAAGGAGAGGGTTACAGTAACTGAGATGGGAAATAATAAGAGATCAATCAAGTGCCCAAGTTGCACCTTAGTAAGGTATAAATGCGTGTATCTGGATATTGCCTTCCTACAGCTTACCTTCTGATACTTTCTTTCACTTCGTAATGAGGTACAAGTTGTTTGGATTCAGCATGGGCTTGGGCTGGTGATTCAGTAGGTAATAGCAAGTTTGCGGTCTGTTCCCCATGAGCCTCTTCTTCTGCAGCCAATACATAGGCAATAGACTTCTGTTCAGAGGTGTTAAGGTCTATATCTCCAGTCCTGCATTCTGTAGTACGATTCCCATTAGTGGTCACCTGACTATAGTAGGGGGTAGGATCATCCTGAATCAGCTTAAGGGATTCATGAAACGCTGTGTCATCCAAAAGATTACTAAAAAAAAAAAAAGAAAGAAATTATGAAAATAGAATTCTATGTCTCACAACAATGCGTGCAGGATACGAATGTCCTTTAAGGGAAATTGTCTTCTAAACTTGCAGGAAGCACTGTGAGCTCACCTGCACGTAGAACCCCTTTGGACTGTGTGTGTAGCTCACACACATACAGTCTAACCAAGTTTAATCAATGGATCATTTAACTCCCTAAACTAGATTCCATGTACCCCTTCCACCAAACTCCCACCCCCCTTGGCACAGATTGGTGCTCTCGCCAGAGTGCATCACTATTCTACTACTTTTGGGCAGCTGCCACTTATTAATCATTATACAATAAAAATCATAACAGTACGCAGTGCATGAGTGTGCACCTAGCAAAGCTATAACAGGCCAATAATAAAGAACACTTACAGGGTTATTCACTAAAATGAGAATTGTCAGGGGTTTAGTGAATGAAAAGTGGATTCCAAATATAAGTCCATAATAATAATACTAAGTTATAATCCTTCCACTTTGAATTCCCCTCTACAACCAGAGTATCAGATTACTGGCACTCCTGCTGCAATATTTCATTTTCAGTAATAGTTTCCTTAAAGGCTTATTCAGTTACCGGATTACGGAGGTCATAATGTCTACAGCCAATTCCTGGTGCACTGCGGCTGGTTTCCTTTGGCTCGTGTCGGGTTCCCCAGTTTCTGGCTGTAAATCCACAAGCACCTGCTTCTCTTTTTCCTTGGGTGATCTATATGGAAGATAGATAATTCTCTTCTAGTCTTTATATTATAAATGTCTTTATATTCTATCAGTTTATTCTCTAAAGTGTCAACTGTCAGGGATTTAAAGTGAATTCAATGTTATGCCAAAGTAGCCAAACTAAAGAAACTCTGCAGGTCAGAGATGCTTCTGTCAGCTATTATGGGCGAAAACGTTTAAACTCATTTTGAATTAAATTTTCAGATAAATTACACCTTTGTTGGCAGTCCTGTTAGTTTATCCGCTCAAGGATAATACATTTCTGGAATTAAAGTGAAAAACAAAAACTACAAAATAGCATTCTGCAATAAAACATATCCCGAGGAAAGAATGACTCAGGTTCCCTTTAAAAACCAGCACCATGCACAAATAATAAAGGAAGTGCAGCACTCCCAGACTATTCCTTTATTATTAATACATATTCACAAAGCAGGCAATGAATAGCAATACGTCACTTCTTTGAATATGTACTGTCAGGGTAGATTAGAAGTGTTTAGTTCATCAGTCTGACAGTCATGAAAGCTATTTTAAATTATCAGTAGATTACCATATGTCGGCATACCAGGTGTCGTGATGAATGATTGAGAACCTCGACCAGTGATATAGCTCAGCTCTATTAACCCTGTATTAAAAGCAGCTCCTTACCTGAGCACATGTACACTGTATTAATCAACATTGCATTTAATGTCACAAAGTCCCTTTGATGTTCTTCGTTAAACATGCTTAGGCGATCAGCCTACTGGACCATTACAATCAACTACATACACTTTAGCTTTCTTTTTAAAAAGTGCCAACTGATCCATGCATAGCATGGGTAGAGATGTGCTAGGCAATCACAAACCGGCTCAATGTCTCACTGGAATTAACCACTTGGCTTTCTCACCGGTATAGGAAGTGACGGTGAAAGTCATTTTGGAAATGGTTCAAAAAGTCTGATGTCTGGTGTGACCTTCCGATCACAGACAAATGCAGTTGGTATGGAATAGGAGGTTCGGGTTTGGGCCAGACCCTTTGTGCTTCTTTCAGTGCCCTGCGACTTTCCCTGTCTCTGCACGCAGGTGGGCGCGAAACCTCTGCATTCTTGATTGGTGGAAGGGTCTGAAAAAAGAATACAGCGCTCCAATTTAGGAAATTGTATTGCTAAGTAAAAACTGTGATGTAGTTTTAAGAACAGTAAGACCTCAAGTGGTAATTACAGATAAATTCACCTAATGTAAGATAAAATAATATTAATCTGTTAGCAATATTATTTAGAATTTTTTAATGTAAAGAAAATTTGATATGACGCTGTCACCTTAATTTAAACATCTTATGGTGGTCAAGAATGCTTTCTTTTTAAAATTTCTGTCACTTTTTACTTTTCTGATAATTCCTTTTAATGCTGGTTTAATGCAATGGCTCTCAGAGCAATGAGTAAAAATGCACAGAATATTTTCATTTAGATGGTTTCACTCCAGGTGCCACATTACAGGCAATCACAGGAAAACGTAAATTTGAAGAGCCTCTGGAAGCAGTTCAGGCATGTATTACAGTTAGTATGTTAATCTTGTTAAACCATGTTAAAAGGACACCCCAGACTCCTTTTTGCTTTTTGTGTGAAGAGTGTGTCCTCTTTTTTTCATTTTACAAAAAACGCAGATTTAATAGAAATTATTATGTCCTGTTACTTCCTGGTTGTTTAGTTCGGTGGAGCTAAACTCAAGAGGCAGCAATTACCCAAAGGGCCTGCCTTGCAAAGACTTCTCATTGAGCTGCATTGGGAAGTCTGTGATTGGACAGCCACAGAAGGTCTGGGTTCATTGCATTCATTGCACTCAGTGGCGGATCCGGAGGGGGTGGGGGTGGGGGGGCAACGGGGCAATTGCCCCCCCCCCCCAAGATTCTCCCCTGCCGGCTAATGCAGGGCTGTCATTGTCCAAGTGCCAGCCCTGCAATGTGACTTACGGACCGGGGAGGGAGATCAGAGCTCCCTCCCCGGTCCACAGGCACATTGCTGGCAGACGGTAGGGGACGAAGAGAGGACCCGGGAGTTCAACCTGCAGCTCCTCGGGGTCCTACTCTCGCGAGCACGGAGCGTTGCCGCAGTTACCACGGCAACGCTCCGGATCTCGCGAGAGTGAACTCTAGCCCTGGAGCTATAGGCTAGAGTTCACTCTAACCACTGGAACCACCAGGGATTCCCCACGGACCACCAGGGATCAAGAAATGCCCCCCCCCCACCCGCTCCTCGCTCAGTAAAGGTAAGAAGGGAGGAGGGACATAAATGAATTTATTTTAGTAAATAAAAAAAGAAAACATTATTAAAAAGCCTCCCTACCCTCCTTCCCCCCCATACACACACTGCCCCCCATACACACACTGCCCTACACACACACTGCCCCACAAACAAACACTGCCTCACACACATGGCCCCCCATACACACATTGCCCCAGAGACACATGCAGTCCCCCACACACACTGCTGCCCCTCCATAAACACATTACCCCACACACGCACGAGCCCCCCATACACACACTGCCCCACACATACATACAGTGCCCGACACACACATACAGTGCCCCCATACACACACTGCCCCCCACACACACACACACACCACAGTGCCCCCCCCCATACACACACTGCCACAAACATACATACAGTGCCCCCCCATACATACAAACACTGCCCCACACACACATACAGTGCCCCCATTCACACACTGCCCCACACACACATACAAGCAGAGATAAGAACTACAATATGTGCATATCTGGTTTATTCCCAAATGATTAAAGCAGGATTCAATAATGCTTAGTGGTAAGCCAAAAGCTATGCATCATGGGATTCCATTATTTAAGGCACAATGTATCTTAGAGGAGGTAATCTTTAGGTAAGAATACCTCAACAGCTATACATTTGTTGGTGATTTTTCTAGCACAAGGTATAGATTACTTATTTATATCTTCCTGAGCTGACCTTGTTCAGATGACAGATGTAAAAACGACATTGTAGGTAAATGAAGAACTTGGAAGACATATTATTAGATAGACTCATTACGACTCTCAATCAGTGCATTTATATATACACAGTATAAGTCAGTGATGGTGTATGGCACCTTAAACGCACCTTATATCGCCGTATTTCTGTTAGCGACCGACTGACTTTGGATGTTCCAGATCCACAGGAAATGTTATCAGGCTAGGAAAGAAGGAATGTTGGAACAACGCCACAAATATATAATTAATATATATATATATAAATAAAATCACTAGGAGATTATAAACCTAACAATAAAGGGACACCCTGCAGATTATAATCAATATGGATTACTAGTCTAATGACTGCCATGCAAAGATTTACAGATCATGAGATAGTGAAACTATTTCTGTAACAGCAGAGGAGCCAGGATTCAGTTCTGATTTATTTGCCAAATTGCCTGAAAAAAAGATTTTATTAAAAATATCCATATATTTACCCCCATAATTTGTTCGTTTTGATCCTGCTCTGTAATGGTGAACTCCAAGCATTGTCGTTCCTCTTCTTCTTTCCATTCTTGAAGCTCCTTGTTGTATTTCGCTAGACCCTTCTCTGAGAAAATCTGCAAAAAGAAAACACAATAATAAAATGATTTCAAACAGTAATGAGTCATTCATACCAAGTATGTCCTGAGATCACAGCAATTCCTAAAGAAGACGATCCATACCTCACACACCAGGTCCAGTGTGTAGAGAGCAGCTAGCTGATCAGTCTGGAGTGTGACAATGATGTTTGTACTCTCCCCTGGTCGCAGAACTCCAGAGATAGGGGAGACCTGCAGTATCTGTAAGTACAATGAATGGCTCCAGTAAGCAGGATTAATACGATAGTAAAAAATCACCAGAAAAGAATATCAATCCTATCTGATAAATAGGAAGGTTATATAGTGTTCTCACAAAAGAGGCATACAACTTCTCAAATCCCAGAAAATATAACCCACACCTAAGGTTAAGAGAAATACTAAAATAGATATAAATAGCAAAAAGAAAGAGATCCAATTGCTGTTACCAGGAGATAGTTATAGCCACTTCACGTACTGCAGGGAATATGTCAACATATATCTATATTGAAATATAAATTGATAATAAAATATGGATAAAAAAAAAAAAGGGGTAAATTCGCTAAACAGCGTTATATGGTATTCGAATTAAACGCAATGGTATTGAGATAAAACCATATCAACCATTTGGGTTATGAAAATAGTCTCTGTAAATGGAAAATGATAAAAGGAAAAAAGAATGAGAAAAGTCCTTAATATATATAAAACATAAAATGGTTAGCTAAATGTTTCAAATAAGTCTCTTGAGTCCATTGGGCTGTATGCTCCTATTTAGATAAGGCTAAAATACCCTTCTATTTTGGAAGCAGGGAAATCTAACCAGTAGGAGCAAATGTGTTAATCTAGTGCCACATTGAGATAATCAGCAACAGTGTGATACACATAAAATGACTCCGTCCATATACTAGTGAAATGTATCGAAGTGTAATAAACTTCTCTACATACAGATCAGATATTTCAGTCAGTGTAAAAAACTTTCCAACTCCAGCAGTTAGTTTCTATAATAAGAAAGGTAGCAACGTGTCTTCCATAAAAAACACGATTTATTGTAAAACAAAATTAGCATAAAATGTATTAGCATAAAAAATAAATTCACTGATGGCTACAAAAGAATGGGAACCTTATCCGGAGTAACACCAAAGTAACAAAGGTTCCCATTCTTTTGTAGCCATCAGTGAATGTATTTTTTATGCTAATACATTTTATGCTAATTTTGTTTTACAATAAATCGTGTTTTTTATGGAAGACACGTTGCTACCTTTCTTATTATAGAAACTAACTGCTGGAGTTGGAAAGTTTTTTACACTGACTGAAATATCTGATCTGTATGTAGAGAAGTTTATTACACTTCGATACATTTCACTAGTAATATCGGACGGAGTCATTTTATGTGTATCACACTGTTGCTGTTTATCTCAATGTGGCACTAGATTAACACATTTGCTCCTACTGGTTAGATTTCCCTGCTTCCAAAATAGAAGGGTATTTTAGCCTTATCTAAATAGGAGCATACAGCCCAATGGACTCAAGAGACTTATTTGAAACATTTAGCTAACCATTTTATGTTTTATATATATTAAGGACTTTTCTCATTCTTTTTTCCTTTTATCATTTTCCATTTACAGAGACTATTTTCATAACCCAAATGGTTGATATGGTTTTATGTCAATACCATTGCGTTTAATTCGAATACCATATAACGCTGTTTAGCGAATTTACCCTTTTTTTTTTTTGTAATTTTAATCCATATTTTATTATCAATTTATATTTCAATATAGATATATGTTGACATATTCCCTGCAGTACGTGAAGTGGCTATAACTATCTCCTGGTAACAGCAATTGGATCTCTTTCTTTTTGCTATTTATATCTATTTTAGGATTAATACGATGGCTATTCTGTATATGAGATAATTCATCCATAAAGTGCTAACCTTCAATTAGACTAACGTTTTTTTTAACTATTGTTATGCAATCCAAATCATGTGTATTTGTATAAATTGCACTAGCAGAAAATAATTGTCTCAGCCTCTTTGTAGTTTCCTTATGTACCTACACATGTAAATTAAATGGATCCTATAGTGCCAGGAAAACAAAGCCATTTTCCTGGCACTATAGGGTTAATACCCCCCTCCATGCGCACCCCCTACCGCAGGGTTGAAGGAGTGCCTCGGTGCTGGGTCAGACTCCGCCCATGCTCCTCCCCTGCCAATGTCATCCGGTAGGGGAGACCTAATGCGCATTGTTCAATGCTTTCCTATGGGGAAAATCTGACGCTGGAGGTCCTCATGCAGAGCGTGAGGACGTCCAGTTACAGATAACGGACCAAAATTCAGTTTGGATTCCTGAAGTGCCCCTAGTGGTAGACAGCCACTGAGGGCAGACTTAGAGCTACAATGTAATAATTATCTGGAAGTGCAATGTTTTACATTGCAGCACCAGGTGCAAAAGGCACACAGCACCCAGACCACATCAGTAAGATGAAGTGGTCTGGGTGCTTACAGTGTCCCTTAAAGGATTTTTCATTACACTGGACAACAGCCCAAGGAGGGAGAAGGTCTACATTTTTACTCTATTTGTAAATTTTCTTACAATTCTTGCAAAACAATAGAAGTTATGAATGAAGAGCAATTTCTGGGACAGAGTTCTTAAAATGGAGCAATCACTATGGAAACCAAAAGGAATGTTTTTACTTCTGACTCTTAGATACTTTTAGAATTTTTCTCCAGAATTGTTCCTTATACAGAACCCCCAATGGTTCAATCATTATAATGCTTTGCATAGTCCAATGTAAACTTTAGGTAATCATTTCCTGTTATCCCTGCCTGAGAATACATAATGACACAATGGATGAATGGATGACAAGAAAAGTTGAACGTTATAGAACATTTGGTTTATTCTATTACTATAAGAAAAAAACGTTAGTGAGACAGGCTACATTATCCTCAAAACTCACTAAGGCTTGTATCTCCAAGAAGGACAGAGACTGGTCTGTGCAGTACTGTGCCGTAAATAAATGAAATAAAATATAGTGTTCTCTGCTTTGAATAGTGGTACTAGAAAAAAAAAAGGGAACTGTATCGTGAATATCCAAAGGGACGTCTCCAGTTTTATCCGAGACGGGGATTGTTCCAGATAAAGCCTTATCTAAGAGCTGATTGGAGGCTCTCTCCGCATTACATTATCCAGGACACTGTATGTATTGGGTTACACTATTGGGGTCTTTTTGGGTTTCTATTTTATATGGGACAACATTAAGAAAATGCCTCATCTCTACTAAAATACCTGATTATTTATCCAGCAATGAGGACAACAGATTGACCTCCAAGAATACTATTTCCAACAGGTTTTATATTAGTACCATAAGAACTATCTCTTTGGGACTTTGATACCATTTTCTTATTTAAGCTATTTTACATTGATATACTGTGTTTATACACTTATTAAGTCAACATTCATATTTGGCGCCGCCTGTTCCCTTTTTTTAAATTTATTTTTGGTTGTTGGGGTATGCATACTACAGACTTGCTGCCTTTAGAGTTTGCGCTGTATCTCCCCCCCTCTTTTTTGTATATCCTAAAAGCACTTACCTCATTAACATTGGGGGACCCTGCGTACCACTTGAAGAAGGCAGACTCACTCTGAGAGGTGTTGTTAAGGAATATGAGACGGCTGGATTTGCAGAAAACAGGGACATCTCCAAACACTAATCTCTGCTGGCTCAGGCGAACCATCTGTAGGAGGTAAATTAGAGGAGCATCGTGAAACGGACAGACAGAGAACCAATCACTTGGGAATTATATACTCACATTGCCTCTTCTAACATGGAAAATCAGATTATTTATACCGGGAGAGCCAATCCCTGACCTCCTAGGCCTATTTAGGCCCTCTCTAAGATCACTGCTTTGCCCAGGTGGGCTTCTCCTTTGTAGTGATCCAAGAGTGCATTTTTGTTTGTTAGTGCTACTGGCTTTCTGACTTCGACTTGTATTTGACTATTCTCCTTTCCGTTCTCCTTGAACCTGGCTTGTTTATTACTATTTGCTACCTTCTATTGTCCTAGACGTTGGCTTGTTCTCAGACTCAGCTTCTTCGTGTTCCTCAGGCTACTACTTGGCTTTCACAGCACTAAGTCCAGCCAACTCTAAGCATTGGTAACATGTGTCTGTCCATTTTCATTTCCTACATTAGTTAGGTGTGATGTAAGCTCTGCATGTTGGGCATGGTCGTATTCTAAAACCTCCATAGCTAAAAGCCATGAACAGGGGTCAAAAGGATTGCCAGGGTTATCCGTGAAATGCGTAATAACTTATTTATATACAGAGATATGCGGCTTTATATTGTACGTCACACAAATGGAGAATATCAAAATAGTTCCTTAATCTTCCATAGCATGTGTCAACATTTGTGACCAAACTAATTACTGCACAATGTAACGGTTTAAATAGCCAGCTGCATCCAGGGATTGTTTGCTACATGCAAAGACACATTCACCTGTCCAGGTGCTACGAGTCTCGGGCTTGATGGTAATGGTGAAAGCTCTTCAAAAACAGCCAAGTCCCCAAGTATGTTGCTGTCAAATCCAATCCCTTCAAACATAATGAGAGTAGAGTCTCCTCCAAGAATGTGCACAGGAACATTCACCTATGAAATTATATGAAAACACATCGCAGTAAGAACGAAATCAATAATACAATACATTTCGGTAGGAAGTCTGATTCCACAGTCTGTAAATTAACTTAGTATGCACAGCACCAGGGGCTGTAATTGTACAAAATGATACAGCTTGTGACATTTAATGATATATACTTACAGAGTAGGTTTTAGCCTCCAAAGGAGAAAAGACCCACTCCACAAATGCAGTTGAACCTGGTAAGATTTCTCCTCTGGGATTCAGACACTGGAAGACAGGGTGCTGATAATTCTGCTTTTTGGTTTCCCTTAGAGGCTCCAGTTGAATTTCATAGATTACGGCTACAGCTCCACCATTGTAAAGTTCATATATCTATAAGATGACACGATAGACAGCTAGAATTTAGAGAACAGTGTGGAGTTTTCCAGTTAACCTTGGCTCGAAGTCACCAATATTGCTAGAGGTACCATAGGAAGCAAGGGACATTTTAGACGTGCCTGCTCTGTTATATGGCCAGCACAGTAAGGACACGCAGAGCATTACAAGCCCTGAACCACATGGGTTATAATTTAAAGAATTACCAATACATGAACAAAGCGCTGGGAATATATAGTGCTGTAGGCAGAGTTATCAGATTTCAAATACTAGCAAATTATTGTAGTAAAATACATTTAAAGGAGAAGTACAGAATAATAGATGATGTACTAGGGAGGTAGACATCTGCAACTGCAATGATGGAAAGAGGTTTATACTGGGAAATGGACATAACAGTAGTGAGAACGTTCTAATGTTTTTACAATATGTAGCAGTGAGTAAGTCCTGATAATGTTACAATATGTAGCAGTGAGTAAGCCCCGCTTATGTTAGTGGATGCAGTAGTGATAAAGCTCCACTAATGTTACAATATGTAGCAGTTAGTAAACCCTGATAATGTTACAATATGGAGCAGTGAATAAGCCCTGATAACGTTACAAGATGTAGCAGTGAGTAAGCCCCGGTAACGTTACCATATGTAGCAGTGAGTAAGCCCCGCTAACGTTACAAGATGTAGCAGTGAGTAAGCCCCGCTAACATTACAAGATGTAGCAGTGAATAAGCCCTGATAATATTACAATATGTAGCAGTGAGTAAGCCCTGATAATGTTACAATATGGAGCAATGAGTAAGCCCTGGTAATATTGCAATATGTAGCAATGAGTAAGCCCAGGTAATGTTACAATATGTAGCAGTGAGTAAGCCCTGCTAATAGTTCAATATGTAGCAGTGAGTAAGCCCCGCTAATGTTACAATATGTAGTAGTGATAAGGTTATACTAATGTTACTAGATGTAGCAGTGAGTAAGCCCCGGTAACATTACAATATGTAGCAGTGAGTAAGCCCCGCTAACGTTACAAAATATAGTAGTGAGTAAGCCCTGCTAATGTGGTTACATAGTGTGACTAAAAATACTGAATAATGCAGAACTGTTAGTACAAATCTACTATTAGTAAATGCAACGCATTGACATTACCTGTTTTGGGGGATTGGATGTGCCGATGGCCACTGGGGTGAACTGATGTTTTGTGGAGGTGAAATGTACAAACCGTTGCTCCCTCTCCACTGTGACTCCAATAAAATTTAGCTATAGGAACAAAGAGTGAGCATTGTAAACCAGGAATGCAAGTAATCCAAGCGGAGTCAAACAGGCACTCTCTTGCTATTCCTAGGGATTGTAGTTAGACAAGCATTGACCTAATACTTTCTATTAATGGAATGGCTTATCAACGTGCCAAGACTAGGAAGATGGGCGTACATTTCATGGTTTTAACGATGAGCTTGTAAAAGAAGTTCATCATCTCTTTTTACTTGAGAACATTTCTATTAACGAATTTTACCTTTTCCTCTCCACGTTTTTACATTTTTATTAATAATTCATAATAAATATTCTGATTAGCTCCAATTCCAAGTGACTGGTGATAACACTGGTTGGAGCAGACCTTTCTCTACTTTCCAGACTGGCTGCTTTGCGTCATCATCCCTTCATCCGTTTTCATCATCATTTCATCCTGCTACAATGCTTAAATTTATGTCCAGGGACAGTTGAGTTTTTGTTGTTTGTGGTCTTTTTTTGTGTATGTTTTAAAGATGACTGAAAATCGACTTTTTATACAATGTACAATATATATTTAAACTATTATTCTACGTACCAAAATCTCACGGCCATGTGACACTTTAAGCAGGACTGGCAAACGGTCAGTTCCAACAAAATCATGTCTGTCCAGATCATGGAAAGAAAAACGTGTTATAAATATTCAAACAGCTAATTCTACTTTTGAGAAAACTAAAATACTATGTATTAGAAAAAAAAAACAAGCACATTTATGAATCAAAAGAATACAAAGGTTCATAAATACTAGAAGTAAACAGTAAAGGGACATGATCTATAACATCATCCATCTTGAATAAGATGATCCTCTCTCTGGGTCCATCTCTTCGTCTCTCAGCTCTCCGTTCCTCTTTACATCTGAGCAATAATGGTAGATGTGATACCTATCACTAACAATGGTGCTCCTTCATGGGAGGGCTGTAAAAGGTGACTTCCAATCCAGGTATCCAGTACATCTCTGAATGAGAAAACCAGTACAGATGGCCTTGGCCTGTGCCAGCAGTAGAAGTCACTTGGCATTCATTGGACAGCAGCCTAGCAGTATCTTCACTGTAGATTATTCTGTGTCCTAGATCAGAGGTTCCATCCAGTCTTAAAGGCATACTAAGCGTCCAGGTTGTGTCCATACCCCACAATAAAAATAATGGGAAATACCTAAATCTTGGATCTCGATGTGCCTTGACGGTTGAGTTACCTGTACCATATATAAAGCCACACTCTACACTGTGTAACTCACCTGTACCATATATAATGCCACACTCTGTACGATGTAACTCACCTGTACATTACCTGTACCACATATAATGCCACACTCTATACTGTGTAACTCACCCTGTACATTACCTGTACCATATATAATGCCACACTCTGTACGGTGTAACTCACCTGTACATTACCTGTACCATATATATAATGCCACACTCTATACTGTGTAACTCACCCTGTACATTACCTGTACCATATATAATGCCCCACTCTATACTGTGTAACTCACCCTGTACATTACCTGTACCATATATAATGCCACACTCTATACTGTGTAACTCACCCTGTACATTACCTGTACCATATATATAATGCCACACTCTATACTGTGTAACTCACCCTGTACATTACCTGTACCATATATAATGCCACACTCTATACTGTGTAACTCACCCTGTACATTACCTGTACCATATATAATGCCCCACTCTGTACTGTGTAACTCACCCTGTACATTACCTGTACCATATATAATGCCACACTCTATACTGTGTAACTCACCCTGTACATTACCTGTACCATATATAATGCCACACTCTATACTGTGTAACTCACTCTGTACATTACCTGTACCATATATATAATGCCACACTCTATACTGTGTAACTCACCCTGTACATTACCTGTACCATATATAATGCCACACTCTATACTGTGTAACTCACCCTGTACATTACCTGTACCATATATAATGCCACACTCTATACTGTGTAACTCACCCTGTACATTACCTGTACCATATATAATGCCACACTCTATACTGTGTAACTCACCCTGTACATTACCTGTACCATATATAATGCCACACTCTGTACGGTGTAACTCACCCTGTACATTACCTGTACCATATATAATGCCACACTCTATACTGTGTAACTCACCCTGTACATTACCTGTACCATATATAATGCCACACTCTATACTGTGTAACTCACCCTGTACATTACCTGTACCATATATAATGCCACACTCTATACTGTGTAACTCACCCTGTACATTACCTGTACCATATATAATGCCACACTCTATACTGTGTAACTCACCCTGTACATTACCTGTACCATATATAATGCCACACTCTGTACGGTGTAACTCACCCTGTACATTACCTGTACCATATATAATGCCACACTCTATACTGTGTAACTCACCCTGTACATTACCTGTACCATATATAATGCCACACTCTATACTGTGTAACTCACCCTGTACATTACCTGTACCATATATAATGCCCCACTCTGTACGGTGTAACTCACCTGTACATAACATATCCTACAATGTGTATTATAGCAAACACTGCAATACTAAATAACACACTGCCCATTAGTTATACTAAATAACCCAACTGTCCATTAGTTATACTAAATAACACACTGTCCATTAGTTATACTAAATAACACACTGCCCATTAGTTATACTAAATAACACACTGTCCATTAGCTATGCTAAATAAAACACCTGTCCATTAGTTATACTATATCAAACACCTATACATTAGCTATACTATATAATGCATTTGTACATTAGCTGTACTATCTATCACACCTGTACATTAGCTGTACCATACTCTGTACTATATAACACACCTGTACATTAGCTATACTATATAATGCATGTGTACGTTAGCTGTACTATCTAACACACCTGTACATTAGCTGTACCATCTAACACACCTGTACATTAGCTGTACCATACTCTGTACTATTTAACATACCTGTATATTACCTGTACCATACACTGTACCATCTAACACACCTGTACATTAGCTGTACCATACTCTGTACTATTTAACACACCTGTACATTAGCTGTACCATACTCTGTACTATATAACACACCTGTACATTAGCTATACTATATAATGCATGTGTACGTTAGCTGTACTATCTAACACACCTGTACATTAGCTGTACCATCTAACACACCTGTACATTAGCTGTACCATACTCTGTACTATTTAACATACCTGTATATTACCTGTACCATACACTGTACCATCTAACACACCTGTACATTAGCTGTACCATACTCTGTACTATTTAACATACCTGTACATTACCTGTACCATACACTGTACTATATAACACACCTGTACATTAGCCGTACCATACTCTGTACTATGTAACACACCTGTACATTAGCTGTACCATACTCTGTACTATATAACACACCTGTACATTAGCTATACTATATAATGCATGTGTACGTTAGCTGTACTATCTAACACACCTGTACATTAGCTGTACCATCTAACACACCTGTACATTAGCTGTACCATACTCTGTACCATTTAACACACCTGTACATTAGCTGTACCATACACTGTACTATATAACACACCTGTACATTAGCCGTACCATACTCTGTACTATATAACACACCTGTATATTACCTGTACCATACTCTGTACTATATAACACACCTGTACATTAGCTGTACCATACTCTGTACTATATAACACACCTGTACATTAGCTATACCATACACTGTACTATGTAACACACCTGTACATTAGCTGTACCATACTCTGTACTATATAACACACCTGTACATTAGCTGTACCATACTCTGTACTATATAACACACCTGTATATTACCTGTACCATACTCTGTACTATTCAACACACCTGTACATTAGCTGTACCATACTCTGTACTATATAACACACATGTACATTAGCTGTACCATACTTTGTACTATATAACACACCTGTACATTAGCTGTACCATACTCTGTACTATATAACCCACCTGTACATTAGCTGTACCATACTCTGTACTATATAACACACCTGTTCATTAGCTGTACCATACTCTGTACTATATAACACACCTGTTCATTAGCTGTACTGTACTCTGTACTATATAACACACCTGTACATTAGCTGTACCATACTCTGTACTATATAACACACCTGTACATTAGCTGTACCATACTCTGTACTATTTAACACACCTGTACATTAGCTGTACCATACTCTGTACTATATAACACACCTGTACATTAGCTGTACCATACTCTGTACTATATAACACACCTGTACATTAGCTGTACCATACTCTGTACTATATAACCCACCTGTACATTAGCTGTACCATACTCTGTACTATATAACACACCTGTACATTAGCTGTACCATACTCTGTACTATATAACACACCTGTACATTAGCTGTACCATACTCTGTACTATATAACACACCTGTACATTAGCTGTACCATACTATGTACTATATAACACACCTGTACATTAGCTGTACCATACTCTGTACTATATAACACACCTGTACATTAGCTGTACCATACACTGTACTATATAACACGCCTGTACATTAGCTGTACCATACTCTGTACCATTTAACACACCTGTACATTAGCTGTACCATACTCTGTACCATATAACACACCTGTACATTAGCTGTACCATACTCTGTACCATTTAACACACCTGTACATTAGCTGTACCATACTCTGTACTATATAACACACCTGTACATTAGCTGTACCATACTCTGTACTATATAACACACCTGTACATTAGCTGTGCCATACTCTGTACCATTTAACACAACTGTACATTAGCTGTACCATACTCTGTACTATATAACCCATCTGTACATTAGCTGTGCCATACTCTGTACTATATAACACACCTGCACATTAGCTGTACCATACTCTGTACTATATAACCCACCTGTACATTAGCTGTACCATACTCTGCTGGCCAGGGTTCAGAATCCCTGATTTGGGGCTAACAGTAAATAACTTGTTGTGTTGGATCTTCAGTTGGTGGATTTCACTTTGGTCAAATTCCCAGGCCTCGGCCCAGAGCTCAAGCTCGATCTGCTGATCCGAAGGAAACAAGAAATCCCTGGCACATCAAAAAAAAAATATTATTATTTTAAATGCATTGTAATAGAACAGCAATGCACAGCATTTCATTCTGTACTATCCTACATAGAGTTTAATATTTCATTTATTAAAGAATATTTAGTTTGTAAGCATAAAATCAGACATTTGCCTTGATTTAGTAAACTACATGGACTCCACTGTAAGCGCAGCCCTAACTTGTGGCGGCAAAACTGTCATGGTTTTTTTATTAAAGTTACTTACTAGCCACAGCTAGACACCAGGCGTGTATACGTAGATCAGCTAATTAACCAGAGTCTACTGTTATAGGGGTGCATTTACTAAAACATGGTGACATACAAACTAGATAATGTCAGCCTAAACGCAGGTTTTTGAAAAATGTTTCCAAATTTGGCCTTAATTAAATTTGTTGACTGTGACAGCAATCCTTGGTACTAGAGCACCCAGGTTAGATGAGCCTCGTGGAATTTGAAAAGCTAGCTATCATATCTTAGGATTTTTAAAGTCGAATTTCCTATTTCCCTCTGGAAGAAAATGAGGTTATCAGCAGAACCTGCTGAACAAATATCTCTGGCTCTGAGCTGCGGGGTTCAATTCCTTATTATGGGAGACTCAAGATTTTAGCTTAGATCAGGTTGACAGGATAATAGTTGCATTTATAACCAACTATCATCAAACCAGCTTTTATGTTAATTTATATACCAGGAATCGTATATAAAAGGAATTGATCATTTCAGACCAAAATAGTCTGATTGGGGGGGAAAGCTCCATGTTAGCTATTCAGGCCAAATGTTTAGAGAATAAAATGCTTTAGGGAATTAGGGTTTTGTGTATAGACTTCATCATGTGACCAGCTCTTGCTGTCAGACCTGGAACTATTTCAGACAGACACATGAAGCCTTTTTTAGTTAAGAAGAATATATTAAAGTAAGACATAATATTTTATGGCTGTGGATAAGAGTCGGTCTAATTATAATGAATGCTCCATGCCGCCACTGTGATACATTTACACCAGGCAGCTCCAGCTCCTGCATACTCACCACTGGACAGGTTGAACACCGTTGTTCTCCACCAAGAGAAGGGCCACAAAGGGTTCGGAGCCCACAGGAGCAGCCCCAAAGTTTAAATCAACTAGCACTGGGGTGCTTATCGGAGGAAATCTACGAGTGCTGGACATAAAAAAGACAAAAAAATAATCATCTTAGAACTGAAATTGTCATGGCCAGTCCTCATTACAGGACTGGTTCTATTAAAGAGACAATGAAATATTGCTTAATGTCAAAACAAAAAGAGCGTTTTGTGGCAGGTGCACTACATTCCCTATTGGAGATATAAAGTAGTTTATCTCTAAATCAGTTTTTCTATATGTCTCTGTAATTACAAGAAAATTAACCACAATTATTTTCAAAATGTATTATGCCTGTAAAGGACAAAATTAATTTGTAGCAGTAACCCATTCACTCTTAGACATGTGAAGGTGAAGGTGAAGGTGAGATAGAATTGCACTACAAAGGTTCATGTTACCAGCATTAATATTTATTAATTTACTTAGTTTGCTGTCAGTTCAGATGTAATATTGAAACATATTTATACATTTTATTTTACAGCAGCGCCAAAACCAGAAGTGTCCATCCTTTGGCATCAAGCTACAGCTAGGCATACAGCCATTTCTGGGAAATTTAACCTACCCAAAACTAGAGGGCTAAAGAGAATTCTGGGAATTGCCCAGGAATTGGACTCAATAGGCCTTTACTCCTGCTATCAACTTGTTTGTTATTTCTGGCCTCGATTTAATATATTTGGATAAGATTTTCAAATTATAACAATCTAAAAGAAAAAGGTTTTCAACTGATATATCTACAGAAGTCACAATTAAAGTTTATGGCAAGTTTTGTAGATAAACCATTTGAAACGTCTTCCTAACAGATTGTGATCATTAGAAAAGCATTTCCGTAAATATTACATCAACAATGTAATATTAGTTCAAAGTACATCTTCATAGTCCACATTACCTGTGTCGGGTCGGCACCCGGTATATTAGTTCTCCAGGCGTTGGGTCCCTTTCAAGATATGCGTTCAGTTTCTCCAATGAAAACAGCCGCCATAGGTGGGTTTTACTGAGAGAGCTGGCACTGCCAGCCGGGCACACATCAACGATGGAGAATATAGGCAAAACGCCATTTGCAGTTACACGGCACAAAAAATGTTCTTCATTGAAAAGATTTGTGGCATTCGATGCTACGGAGAGGATGAAATTTGATTTTAAAGGAACACTATAGTCACCTAAATTACTTTAGCTAAATAAAGCAGTTTTAGTGTATAGATCATTCCCCTGCAATTTCACTGCTCAATTCACTGTCATTTAGGAGTTAAATCACTTTGTTTCTGTTTATGCAGCCCTAGCCACACCTCCCCTGGCTATGATTGACAGAGCCTGCACGAAAAACAAAACTGGTTTCACTTTCAAACAGATGTAATTTACCTTAAATAATTGTATCTCAATCTCTAAATTGAACTTTAATCACATACAGGCTATTAACATAGCAGCTGTGCAAGTCACATGCAGGGAGGTGTGACTAGGGTTCATAAACAAAAGGGATTTAACTCCTAAATGGCAAAGGATTGAGCAGTAAGGCTGCAGGGGCATGTTCTATACACCAAAACTGCTTCATTAAGCTAAAGTTGTTCAGGTGACTATAGTGTCCCTTTAACCCCTTAAGGACACATGACATGTCATGATTCCCTTTTATTGCAGAAGTTTGGTCCTTAAGGGGTTAAATGTCTTTTTTTTTTTTTTTTATCCATAGCATTAAGACATAATAAAACCATGCATATTATGCCATTTTCAATATCAGTTAAATCTCTTCCATAAAGTGAGTGTTAATTGTAACTGATAGCAACAGGGCTATTTATTAAAGGGACACTATAGTCACCAAAACAACTTTAGCTTAATGAAGCAGTTTTGGTGTATAGATCATACCCCCACAGTCTTACTGTTCAATTCACTGCTTCTATTTAGCAGTTAAATCACTTTGTTTATGCAACTTGAGTCACACCCACTGCATCCGACTTGCACAGCCTTCCTAAACACTTCCTGTAAAGAGTAATCTAAAGTTTACACTTCCTGTATTCCTTTAAATTCCGTTTAATTTAGAATGTCTTATCTTCTGCTCTATTAAATGCTTGCTAGACCCTTCAGGCAGGGCCGGATTAAGAGCACACTGGGCCTGGTGCTGACAAATATGATGGGCCTAATTACGGAATCTTATCGACCAAAAACAATAAAACAGTCATACCTCCCAAGCGTCATGTATCTGATGGAGATGGTGTTGGAGGGAAACTCATAGGGTGCAGCTATAGGAAAACACATACTCTATGGTAAGCTCTCTCTAATTTATGCTTTCATCTTTCAAGTAAATCCATAACCCCTAACAGCAGTGTCCAGTAAAGCAGGAAGTCAATGGGTGGGGTAAAAGTGTGGGCCACTTGTGCGAATTACGTGACCAGACCTGCCAAAAGGGGAGAACATGCCCAAAAAGGGGGCATGTCTGTCCAAAGAATTTGAAGGACAGCCTGGCATGAATGCATGTCCGGCTGCCCGCCAATCCTGTAGGCTGTCCAACTAAGGGCATACTATGCAGGCAGCACCATGAGCTTGACATAAATGCATCTAATGATGCGCTCACTCCGTGCTTTCTAAGGACTGTCCCCTAGCACTCGCTGGTCCACTTGTCTCCTTGCCTTCTTACTAGCAGGCAGAAGTTCCTGGTATATAGTCTGAGACAGAGAAAAGGTGTATGTAGTGAGTGTAGAAGAAAGGGGACATGCCACAGTGTTAGAGTGACCAGCGTCTGCATTACCTAAACTAATTCTATTGTCAGCTAGTCCACACAAGTTTTGTTTCCATACATCCCTCTTAAGCTTCCAAACGTAAAGGGACACTATAGTCACTAGAACAACTACAGCTTATTGTATTTGTTCTGGTAAGTAGAATCATTCCATTCAGGCCTTTTGCAGTAAACACTGTCTTTTCAGAGAAAATAACTCCACTGTCCACTCCTTAGATGGCTGCTAGAGGTGCTTCCTGGGGCAGTACTGCCTAGTGTGTAGCACTGCCATTCAGTGTCTCCACCCTCTGCATGCAGACACTGAACTTTCCTCATAGAGATACATTGATTCAAATTATCTTTATGAGGAGATGCTGATTGGCCAGGGCTATGTTGGACTTGTGCTGGCTCTGCCCCTGATCTGCCTAGTTGACAGTCTCAGCCAATCCTATGGGGAAGTATTGTAATTTGCTCAGACCACCACTTCTGATGATATCAGCAGACAGTCAATTCAGAGGCAGAGCCAGCAGCTGCAGATTTGAATACAAGTTATATTTTACTATACTTAGGGAGGCAAGAAGGGGCCATTGTGTTGGTTTTTACATAATCTGGTCAGAAATACATGATTGTGTTCCTGACCCTATAGTGCTTCTTTAAGCAAGAGTATGTGAAGAGTAGTTAGGGTTGCCACCTTTTTTGGAAAAAAATACCAGCCTTAATCATTTGTATAATCACAAGGAGTGACATCAGATAAAATTCTGTAAAATCACCAACAAACTACTCACAGTTTGATTCTGTTGTATAGATGGATTGCTCCCAGTGTCTCAGTCTCGCAAGTCACCCAGTGTCTCAGTGTCCCTATGTATCACAGTGTCAGTGTCCCCATGTCGCCCAGTCCCCTAGTCTCCCAGTGTCTGTGTCCCCATTTCTCCCAGTGTCCCCATTTCTCCCAGTATCCCAATGTCTCAGTGTGTCCCAATGTCTCAGTGTGTCCCCATGTCACTAGGATACTGGGGACACACTGAGACATGGGGACACTGAGACACCCGGGGACACGGAGACATGGGGACATAGGGACACTGAGACATTTAGGGAAACTGGGAGAAATGGGGACACAGACACTGGGAGACATGGGGACACTGAAACATTTGGGGACACTAAGACATGGGAACACAGAAACTGGGAGACTAGGGGACACTGGGAGACATGGGGACACTGGCTGGAAGACAGACACTTGGGGACACTGGGAGACATGGGGACAGTTGTGGGCATAGACATGGGGACACTGGGACATAAAGGGACACTGGGAGACATGGGGACACTAGGCACACTGAGACACTAGGAACACAGAGACTGGGAGACATAGGGACACTGAAACATTTGGGGACACTAAGACACTAGGGACACAGAGACATGGGGACACTGGGAGACTTGGGGACAGTTGTGGACATAGACATGAGGACACTGGGACATATAGGGACACTGGGACACATGGGGACACTAGGCACACTGAGAGACACGGGACACAGACACTGGGAGACTTAGGGACACTAGCGACACTGGATGGGGGACATGGGGACACTGGGAGAAATGGGGACATAGTGTCTCCGTGTCCCAATGTCTCAGTATCTCCCAATATTCCCATGTGTCCCAGTGTCCCCTAGTGTCCCCATGTTTTCCAGTGTCCCCAAGTGTCTCAGTGTTTCCAGTTCTCCCAGTGTCTGTGTCCCCATGTATCCTAGTGTGTCTGTGTCCCCATATGTCCCCTAGTGTCTCAGTGTCCCCTAGTGTCTCAGTGTCCACATGTGTCTCCATCCCTCACATACCTGAGCTGTAGAGCTGCTGTCTGGACTCTGTGCTGTGTTGCTGCTCCCCCACAGATCAGTAAGTAGTAGAGAGAGGCAGGGATATGCTGTAACTTCCTATCCCTGCCTCTCTCCACACACAGTGACCCCTACTGGCTGGTGCTGGTATTGCAGAGTAATCTCCATTTATTCTGAGAAAAATACCTGCATTTGTATTGCCGGTATTACTGCGATACCGACACGGCCAGGCAGCCTCAAATACCGGCTGTGCCAGTAAAATACCAGTCAGGTGGCAAACCTAAGAGTAGTGTGTAAAAAAAAAAAAAAACACATTGTGGCGAAACCAACCTCGCCACTGTGAACTGGAGAAGCCTGGTTGCTCGCCTGCTCCCTTTGGACTATGGCCCTGCAGGTTAAACTGTTTATTTCCCCTGCAGAAAGGCTTATTTGTGTGATCTGAGTGCCATTCATCTAATAATGTGCACTCAGATCCCAGCTATCTGGGGATATGTGAAATGTCTGTGTGTTATGTGTAAATGTGACTTTATGTATTTTAAAGTGTTTTGTGTCTTTTTGCAACCATGTGCTTAATGGAGTCTTGTGTCTATCCTGGGAGATAATTGAATTACTCTCCAGGATAGAAGACTCTGAAACTGGTTTGGGCCAGAAAGCCATGCTTCATTTAGTCACAAAGGACTTTCCCTTAACTTTTGAACCCCTGGTCTGATTCGTGCCATTTTTAATATGTTGTTCCCCTGAATGGATTGATTGTGAATATGTAATTTTATGTGAATGTGATGTATGGTTTTAGAGTTATGAAAGTTGGGTAGAAAGTATGTTTTAACTGTATGTGTAATTGAGTTTCCTCTCAGGATAAGGGGAGGGAATATGTGGGATGTAACTGATATGTGATTGGTTGTTTTGTAACGCCCTGTGGGCTGTACTATGTTTGTGGATTGGGAATAAAAGAGACTGTATGTGACAGTACAGGGAGTTCCTGTTTAACCCTCAAAGTGAAGTGTCGTCTCATTATTGGGGGAAGGATTTATTGTATGCTGTTCCAGTTTGACTGCTAGGAGAGTAAACCTATTCGTATGGTTCCTATTCAACTGTCTGCAGCATTCATATGCTTGGGAGAATTTATTTGTTTCTCCGGTTCGGTGATTGTGGTGTCTGCCAGAGTGCTTGGAGTCCTCAGGAAGCGCTAGGAGCATCCTTCAACGGAGGTACCCAGTCGGGGTGCCAGGCGATCCGTTACACACATTTTTTTTTTTTTTTTAAATGGGCCTATTCCATGGGCCTGGGCCTGGAGCTGCAGCTCCATCAGCCCCTATGTTAATCCGGCCCTGCCTTCAGGATGTTCCTGTATGTATCAAAAGATGGTTCTCATCATAACCTAGAAATTGTAGAGAAATAAGCTTGATAAAGACCTTTTCGGTCGAAACGTTGCTGTGGTTCCATTAAAGTGCCTATTTTTTTTAACCAAGGAGTGCCTGGACCTTTATTTCTCTACAATATTTTGGAATTTGGTGTTTGGTTCCTGGTACAGCAAAGCACCCTGGCTCAGACTGATGGGAGTGAGTGCAGTTCCCTACATATCCTATAACCTAGAAATTGACATAAAATGATGATTTAACAATGTAATGTAGGGTTGGTTCTCATGATAAACTAGAATTTAACATAAAACACTGCTTTGTTCTATGGTGTTATTATCTTTCATAAATATAAGTCTTGGAATTTAGGAGTCAAGTTGTTGTTTTTTATTAAAAAAAAAAACGTAACCAAAAAATGAGTGGTTAATGTGCAAATCATGAGGTGCTAGGGTGCAGTGAATAATGGGATAGGTGCAATGAATAAGGGGGTTAGGGTGCAATGAATAAAAGTTTAATATGGATGGAAGGAGGTATTAGGGTACAAAGAATAAGGAATTAGGGTGCAATAAATATGTGGCCTTGATTCAGTAGTTTTGGATAAGCTTTTCAAAATGTTCTAAAGGATAATTACGAGCATGTATTCTGCATTTTAAGATTGGTAGTAATATTTAAACATCTGGGTAAATGGTAATTTTGTGATGATTGAATTTTTTCAATCTGTAGTACCTTTTTGGCACTAGGTCAAAAAAAAAAAAAAAAGAATGTTTTTTACATTACCTTTTGGTGCAATAATTCGATAGCTGATGTTCCAAGTATATTGCAACCTACGGGATGGTCGAGCTGTTACCCGGATATTGAGCTTGGTCCGCGCAGTTAGAGTCCCTCTATTGTTCTCAAATTCCAGGGCTTTAATGAAACAAACAGGGATGTATCAGGTGCTTGCTCTAATGAGCTCAGAGGGCACGAGAAGTAAAAACATGAGGTCATGGCTGGATTTACAGTCCTGGTACCCTCAGGCCAGCTGAGTGGGCATGGATAATATCTGACTGAGAAATGGACAGATTCGCTCCAAAGCTGCCCAGTCAAGTATGGTTTTTCTAAGTTGCCTTTCATTCTGTTTTATTCTGGTATACTAGTTTCGTTCTTGGATACATGTGCAGGGGTTAAGTGGCCCCTTAGCCTTATTGCAGTGGGGCTGCTTAGTAAAGTACAGTTATGGCTAGCTAGTTCTCTAGCTCTCGTGGGATATATTTCACATGAAGCCAACCTTTAAAGAACAACCTTTCAGCTTGCTGTCCATCATGGGAAATATATCTCACAGTAGGAATGCAAGAGGTTAGCCCTATTAAGAAGAAGTGGATCATGATTGGAAGAAGCAACATATTTTCCTGCACATATGTTGTTTGTGCATGCTAACTGCCAAGACATGAAAAGTGCTGCCCTGAAGAATGCACTAATGAAATAATTTGATAAATGTAGGAGGGACAACAAACTCCCCTGATTAAATATTTCATTATTGCAATCCTATGAATGCTTAATACTATAGGGCAGCAGTTTTCATGTCTATCAGCTCAAGAAGGAAAACCACGTTGCTCTGGATGATATGCAAAGCACGGGATCTGTTTAAATTCTGAAGGGAAGGATTAAAGCTATGCAAGGATAAGAGCTATGTTCGCTGGTGTTCTACGGTGCACTTCGTGAGATCTGGCACTCAATGCAGCTGTCTGTGGAATTCACAAACAATATGTGAAGTGAGGCACAAGTAGTTTCCTACCGATTGGATCAGTGTTGAACTCTTCTGGGTCACATGCACCTGAAATGACCTGCTTAGCACTCAGTGAATAATCCAGAGTGCAATCTCCATCATTTGACAGCAATAAATTACAGGACTGGAAACTGCCAACCAGAATGTTCCCTAAATCCACCTGTTCCTGCTGCACCTGAGAAGAAAAATAAATTGAGTTCAGCCTGGGGGAACAGTCTGGGTAGCATGTGGTGAGCTGAAGCATCACGGATCGTTCAGTGGAACATATTATTAAAGTTCAAACTAACAAACAGACGGCACAGTGTGCTGTGTAGGGCCGGTTACTGCAGTGAGTGGCATGTCATACTGATGTACCCTTGTTAATTTTGCTGAAACCCTGTGCTCCAAAATAATTAAATTAAAAACTATAAAAACTAACATATTTTACCAATCGATGGAAATCATTCTCTGGAGGTCTCCCTTTGATAGAGCCAATACAGATGTCAATCAGTCCTCCTTGGCAGAATAAAGATATGACACAGTCTTTTCAAGGATAGGACATTATACCGTACTGATATACCAGTCTGAATGGGAGTGCTGCTGATGCAAGCTGGGAGTAGGTGAGGGTAAACGCAGACACCCACCCCCCCACTAACTCCTATGACACTGCTACCTTCACCAATGCATTCAGAGACTTCAGAGTCACAATGCTGGTCTCAGGGACATTGAACCTTAAATACTTCTGAAGGTCCTGTCTCAGTTCTCCACAATCTCCAGTTTAGTGAATAAACCCAATCCTAAAACTACAGCTAAACTGCATTGAATAAGCAAATAACAAACCTCCCGTAAAATGCACCTAACTGGATGGCCTTTGAGTGCAAGCTGTATCCAGAGCATTAACACGTCACCTGCACTCAAAGGGTTAAGCATGTTGCTGCCGTTACTAGCAATATATGAAGCACAATGTTTCAGATGAGTTCCCCTTTCATCAGGTGTGACACAAAAGGCTCATTGTGCAGATTAAACATCCTGTAACGGCTTGAGGCTCTGGCAAGCATCCTGCCAAACAGGACCCTGTGTGTTGTTAACTCAAGGGGGTTCAGAAACTGTCTGTCACCATATGCTGCCTAACACTGATCCTGATATTAACATTTCCTATCCAATACAATACCCCTAACGTCTGTCGTGTAACTGCTTCTCAAGTACCCCTTGGCCTAGCCAGGATTATATCACAAGGTGGATCAGGTTTACAATATATTATCTGTGGGCAAAGGATAATAAAGGCTGCTGACACTGGTTTTTATTATAATCACTGACGGCCTGCTCACCTCCCAAATCAGAATCTTCTAATAAATGTATGTTATCGACATACCGGCAAATCGTGAGAAGAAGTCTAGACAATCATAATATCGAGGTGTGAGAGTTAAAAACAGGGAAATCTGCTGCTAGTCTAAATCTTTTAAAGCATGTCAGGACAGAAATGACTAGGCTTTCACACTCAAACTGAATAGAGTGTCAAACATTAGCCATCACTGTCCTGGGTTATAACTGACCCAATCTGCACTGACCAGCTCGTTCTAAGATGTTTAGTTTTCTTAATGAAACATTCCAAAGCCACGCCTAAAGCACTTTAGCTTGCAGAAATGCATTATGTGTGGTGAGTATGTCTTCTTTTTTTCATTTTACAAAATAAAAGTTGCACTGTGATAAATGAACCTTGTTACACCCCGCCGGCTGTCAGTTAGACACTCGTCCTGTTACTTCCTGGTTTGGTTAACTCAGTGCAGCTAAACTCAAGAGGCAGAAATTGCTCAGAGCACCTGCCTTGCAAAGACTTCTCATTGAGCTGCATTCGGAAGTCTGTGATTGGACAGCCACAGACAGTCTAGGTGGGGTGTGAAGAGAATGGCTTGCAAAGGCTGCAAACATAAGATAAGAGCTTTTGCAAGTTGTTTTTAGATATAACTCAAATGAAAAAAATGAACAATTAAATGCATACATGTTTTCATTGTGGGCATATCTACCAAAATTGTGATTATTTTTTATTTTTGTATTTCGGCAGTGGAGTGTCCCTTTAATATTTACAGCTTCTCTTTAAGGCTATTTAACCAGTGTTTGTGTAACTTACAGAGAGAGACCCCTTGCAGCCTTCTCCACTGATGCGAAGGATGTAGCAGGTCTTCTTGATGGCCTCAGAAGAATTTTCAGCTGCCCAAGTCAGCACAGTAGTTTTAGCAACATATACATTTTCTTCTTGTGGCACAAATGACCAAATCTGAGCCTTCAAGAATAGGGAAAAAAAATGTAAAAAGTGTGTATGTTAAAGAAAAGAATTAAAGAATGAATGTTAAAGAAGTGAACCCATTTGCCTGAGAGAATATCTGTGCACTTATAACAGCGTTTGTCAGTGACTAAACGTTTGTAAGAGTTTACCATGTTCTCACTAGGCCTGATAAGCCACATGTAGGGCTAACTGAATAGGAAACCTACCATGCTCTCACTGGGTCTGATAACTCCACATGTATGGCTAACTGAATAGGAAACCTACCATGCTCTCACTGGGTCTGATAACGCCACATGTATGGCTAACTGAATAGGAGCTTACCGTGCTCTCTCTCTCTGGATATGATAGCTCCACATGTAGGGCTAACTGAATAGGAGCTTACCATGTTCTCACTGGGTCTGATAACTCCACATGTAGGGCTAACTGAATAGGAGCTTACCGTGCTCTCTCTCTCTGGATATGATAGCTCCACATGTAGGGCTAACTGAATAGGAGCTTACCATGTTCTCACTGGGTCTGATAACTCCACATGTAGGGCTAACTGAATAGGAGCTTACCGTGCTCTCTCTCTCTGGATATGATAGCTCCACATGTAGGGCTAACTGAATAGGAGCTTACCATGTTCTCACTGGGTCTGATAACTCCACATGTAGGGCTAACTGAATAGGAGCTTACCGTGCTCTCTCTCTCTGGATATGATAGCTCCACATGTAGGGCTAACTGAATAGGAGCTTACCATGTTCTCACTGGGTCTGATAACTCCACATGTAGGGCTAACTGAATAGGAGCTTCCGTGCTCTCTCTCTCATCTGATAACTCAACATGTAGGACTCACTGAAAAGGAAACCTACCGTGCTCTCACTGGGTCTGATAACTCCACATGTAGGGCTAACTGAATAGGAGCTTACCATGCTCTCTCTGGATCTGATAACTCCACATGTATGGCTAACTGAATAGGAAACCTACCATGCTCTCACTGGGTCTGATAACTCCACATGTAGGGCTAACTGAATAGGAGCTTACCATGCTCTCTCTGGATCTGATAACTCCACATGTATGGCTAACTGAATAGGAAACCTACCATGCTCTCACTGGGTCTGATAGCTCCACATGTATGGCTAACGGAATAGGAGCTTACTATGCTCTCACTGGGTCTGATAGCTCCACATGTATGGCTAACTGAATAGGAGCTTACCATGCTCTCTCTGGATCTGATAACTCCACATGTATGGCTAACTGAATAGGAAACCTACCATGCTCTCACTGGGTCTGATAGCTCCACATGTAGGGCTAACTGAATAGGAGCTTACCATGCTCTCTCTGGATCTGATAACTCCACATGTAGGGCTAACTGAATAGGAAACCTACCATGTTCTCACTGGGTCTGATAACTCCACATGTATGGCTAACTGAATAGGAGCTTACCATGCTCTCTCTGGATCTGATAACTCCAAATGTATGGCTAACTGAATAGGAGCTTACCATGCTCTCTCTGGGTCTGATAGCTCCACATGTAGGGCTAACGGAATAGGAGCTTACTATGCTCTCACTGAGTCTGATAGCTCCACATGTATGGCTAACTGAATAGGAGCTTACCATGCTCTTTCTGGATCTGATAACTCCACATGTATGGCTAATTGAATAGGAGCTTACCATGCTCTCTCTGGATCTGATAACTCCACATGTAGGGCTAACTGAATAGGAGCTTACCTTGTTCTCACTGGGTCTGATAACTCCACATGTAGGGATAACTGAATAGGAGCTTTCAATGCTCTCTCTCTACATCTGATAACTCAACATGTAGGACTCACTGAAAAGGAAACCTACCGTGCTCTCACTGGGTCTGATAACTCCACATGTAGGGCTAACTGAATAGGAGCTTACCATGCTCTCTCTGGATCTGATAACTCCACATGTAGGGCTAACTGAATAGGAGCTTACCTTGTTCTCACTGGGTCTGATAACTCCACATGTAGGGATAACTGAATAGGAGCTTTCAATGCTCTCTCTCTACATCTGATAACTCAACATGTAGGACTCACTGAAAAGGAAACCTACCGTGCTCTCACTGGGTCTGATAACTCCACATGTAGGGCTAACTGAATAGGAGCTTACCATGCTCTCTCTGGATCTGATAACTCCACATGTAGGGCTAACTGAATAGGAGCTTACCTTGTTCTCACTGGGTCTGATAACTCCACATGTAGGGATAACTGAATAGGAGCTTTCAATGCTCTCTCTCTACATCTGATAACTCAACATGTAGGACTCACTGAAAAGGAAGCCTACCGTGCTCTCACTGGGTCTGATAACTCCACATGTAGGGCTGAATGAATAGGAGCTTACTGTGCGCTCATTGGATCTGATAACTCCACATGTAGGACTAACTAGATTGGAGCTTACCATGCTCTCATTGGGTCTGATAACTCCACATGTAGGACTAACTAGATTGGAGCTTACCATGCTCTCATTGGGTCTGATAACTCCATATACAGGGCTAACTGAGATGAATGATTTATGCATATGCTGTATCTTCCACTCAAAATTCAGAGGGACTCTGGAGCAATTCTTTATGGAGTAAGAGTAATCAGACTGGGTGCCAACACAGGTGGGCTTAAAGAAGAACTTCCCATCTCCTTCCAGCATCAGCAGTGGTTTTTCAGCACGAGAAAATAGCACTATTTCCTAGGGGAAAAGAAGACAAAAGGTGATCATGATACACCAGCCTGGAGCACACACAGTTCAAATCCTAAGTCCTCACTCACTGACTTCACTAACTCCAATACCACTTTCCTCTCATTCTTTTAATTATTTCCTTCCTCCCTGTGTCTTCCTCTTCCTCTAACTTTTCTCTCTGCCTTATCCCCTGACACTCCCTCTTAAACCTTATCTTCTTCTTCCCTTCCCCCTGGCCATCTACCCTTAGCAATTCCCTTTCCTTAATGCAATCACCCAACAGTTCGCTGACACTATAGAGGCCAATAGTTTTTGTATATTTTCTGTTAGCACTGTAATATCTACAGACATCTTTACTTGTTTCATTCTGCCCCCTAATGTAATTCTTTTTGAATATGTTTAAATAAAAATTACTCTGCAAAAACAAAACAAAAAAAAGACTAACAGATCTAGATAGTTAACCAATAGTTAAACTGACACCTTTTCAAATCATTTAAAGAGAAATGTTCTGCCCATAGACATAGTTTGCCTTACAGGCTGCAGATAGGGAAGCTAAGTATGAGTTGTTTTGACAGCCATTAATCATCTGGACTAGGGTGTGCATTATAGCTCAATTCACTTCCCATTCTCATTTTGGAGATGGCCCACTCAATGCTTTTGCTAAAAAACACTAATTTGCTTCCCCTTTGGGTGAGATGTGGTGTGCGCTCCCAGCTCGCTGATTGAGGTACACAGACATTCCTTTCTGAAGCAGAGAAACAGAAAACCCTATGTACGACTTTCTGCTTTGACTGGCTTAATTAGTGAGGACCTACTGATATTCTGTTCAATAATGTCCCTATTGTCAAAGGAAGGTAATCAAACAAGAAGACCTGCTTCCAGCAGGGCTAATTCATTATTATAACTGCATAATGTCTTAATAAATCAAGGAGTAAATTAATTGGTTACACAATATCTTGCTGAATGCAGGCTTATTGCGCTCAATCAATCTCATTTATGATGCCTAATATTTACTAACTGATGGAAAAACCTTATGAGATCTGGGAACCAATAAAATGTTATTAATCAGGGTTGTTTATGTGTGTGACTGCTTAAATGCTTGATTATATTTTAAACAATGAACAAGTTCGAATGGTTCTTAATATCCACCTGACTGATTACATACATTTGGAATAATAGGCATTTTATTTTTTACTTGTGCTTTGTAGCTACAAATATAAACAATACATACTGACATATTTAAGATACCAAAAATGATGAGCCTATATGTTGTCAGGTGGATATCTGTCATTGGAAATCTTAATAAATTTACCATTCTACCTTTAATATGAGTTATCTCTTATCAGAGTTACTGTCCCTTTAATTGCAAAAGTCATAACAAATTAGACACATAGATTTATTTTTCTTCTAAGTTAATATGTTTTTTTTCAGAATTGTGTTTGATAAAAAAGTGTGAAAACTTCCAATTGTTCATTTTTGTTTGAGTAAGAGAGGCATAGGTGGAATTAGTCGTTATATTGGCATTCCCACCAGACTTACCTGGCTGTAGTCAGGACTGAAGTTGAACTGTACAGGTAGGCAGTGCCTGGTCAGTGCCGCTTGGTTAGGGCTGGTTCTCAGTAGCACAATTTGATGGGAAGCAGAAGACAGATGACCTGCTGCTGGTTTTGCCTGGACAGATGGGCAGCTAGCTTGGTCTACAGCATAGCTCATGGGTGAGGGTCCAGTATTTAGAAGCAGCAGGGAGCGCTGTGTCTGCTCATCCTGTCTTACTGGGGGGAATACCTGGAGTAAAGGTAAAAGAACAGTTTCAGATTTACTTTGATATCCACCGTATTTCATTGATGAAATGGATAAAACAATGCCATAGAGCAAGCATGTGTTTAACCACTAATGAAAATGGAACTCTGGAGTAGATTAATGTAGAGATTGATGAGGGGTAATTTAAAAAAAAAAAAAAAAAAAGGTTTTGTCATTGTATGTGCTTTATATCTTAACCATACACTATGTTCGCTTCACTTTCCAGTTTCAATGAGAAATGTTTTAAAGAGAAATACATGAATTCCTGATGCCACAAGTTCAGTAACAGAATTAAGGCACATTTAGGAGAACGAGAACTCAGCTTGTGTGGATGCAAATGTACACAAATTCCCCGTGAGTGGTTGCAGGTGTACATGTATGCTCACTACATCCCCCAGTGTAAGTGACATCATTGTTGACTAGGGTACATACATTTCCTCAGGCAGGTGTCACAGGTGTAAATTTACTCTCACTACATCTCAGTAACTAGCATAGTTAAACGGTGTACGTGCACTTCCAGTACATCACCCCCTCCCCCACCCAGTGGAATGATGACAGCATTGTGGACAGGTGTAAGCAAACTCTGAAAGCAGCTCCAGGTATCTATCAGGATGGATTGTTTTTGTTTAGTTTTTTCACATTTTCTTTAATTGCAGCATTTCCTATATCAGAGCAGTTTATTGCATGCTCTAATGAATCTCTTACTACCTTCTAGATAACATTCTTACCATTCGAGGAGAATCTAGCACACAGCTGGGGACAAAGTGCTGGTGGCCCAACTCAAAAGTGTGTCCCCTTGCTTGAAGTGTAATGCACCATGGTATGCACATTGTGACGTCCTCCACATTGCGGTAATTCCGCAGCACCTGTAAAAGGAGAGTCATCATAATAGAAATTACACACTGGACACAGGAAAGCTGACCAGATGAGACTCAAATTACAGTTTGCTGACTGACTTATAGGACAGAAGTTTGGACAATTCTACAATTCTTAGATTCTCTGCATTCAACCTTAAGTGACCTATTATTTCTTATTAAATGATACAGTATGATCATAACCTGGTATGACACTATCCATAGTACGATGTTTCAGAAATATCAGCTTGATTCCATACTCTACCTTCAGACAGTTACATATTCCTGTACCAATATGAAGAAAGAGCACTTGTGTCTACCCCTGCCCTTCCACTTGTAGTTGGGCAATATATGCCATCCTTCCTTGGAAGCCTATGGTTAAGAATTATAGTCTAACAATAGCAGACCAGTGAAGGCTGGACAGATCTGAGGCAACCATCACCCAGTGGACCTGCAGTTGTCCCACCTCTGCTCACCCACCTTGTAGAAGATGAAACCTTCCAGCTCCCCAGCGTACAATGTGTTTGCCTGAGATGGATGGAAGCTCACTGTTAATGCTGTGGACTTTAGAGGTGGAATCTCTGTAAACTCTGGGTTGACCTGAAAGGGACAGTCAGGTTTAGAAGTCCAGGTGACGGTCACTTTTCCTTTAGTGTGATTGGTCAAAGATAAGGGGAGAGATGCATTGTGGGAATTTTCAGTGCAACAACCAAAATCAAAATCTCGTGTAGAAGCTGTGACATGGGGTGGAAATGTTGCATTCTCAATGCTAAACTCATCATCAAAGAATTCACACACTGGGTCCATGCTGGTGTGTTTCTCATGCACTTCGTCATGGTCACCCTGGAAAACAAGGATGTTAGCTTATCCAAAAAATTGATTCTTCCACTCTGACATGTCAACTAAATGTGTAGTAATCCTTGCATGAGCAGTGTGTTCTAGGACAAACAATTTACTGAACTTCAACATTGAGTAACAATTGGTTAATGCTTTCACTGTGTCAAAACAGAAGCAGGAACAGGCTGAGTGAGCAGAATGTGAGGCTGATGGATAATGCTGGCTGCTATAACTGGTAGACATCATGGGTTTACTTACGAAGAGCAATTAAGGTTCTACTGGTTTGTAAAATGTGAGTCCTGTTTGTGATTATGGAAGACCAACCCTCCCTCTGCCCCTGTGGCCTAACACAACACTCTGTCAATGGCATGCTATATACAAAACGTGTCCACCAGCGCTCACCACAGTTTGGGTATTATATTTATGACTAATGACTGTTTTCTGATTTATATGTAACTTAATAAACTTATTAGAAGACTCTTAGTGTCTTCCTGGTACATAAATTTCCCTCCTGAATAATACATTCCCCTTTGATATCCACCGTATCTCATTGATGAAATGGATATAACTATATTATAGAGCAAGCAAGTGTTTAGCCACTAATGAAAATGGAACTCCGGAGTAGATTAATGTAGAGGGTAATGAGTGGTAATATTAAAAAATAAAACGTTTAGAGCAGCAGTGGGAGTTTCTACTTTTTCTTTTGAAATATATGTATTTTTATATATACACACATACATATATATTACACATAGTTATCAATTTACTTGAAGCTTGCGTAATTTATTTAAGCTTTTATATATTTGCTATTTGCATATTCTAGGATTTATTAATTTTTTTAAACTTCATTATTTTATTAGCTGGATTATAAATGAGTTAAATACCTTTGCCAATAGCATTAGAGCTCCCTCTGAGTCTTTCCCCAGCTTCCCCTCCTCTAACATAGCCTTTAGAATGTCAGGGGGGTAAGCTGTCAGCCCCAGCACAAGGTTCTTCCTGTATAAAGGAAGATGTTTGGGGAGCACAATCGCCGGCTTATCCGTATCAGAATGACATGTACCGATTAAATCCAGAAACAGAGGGCCCTGCAAAAAGAAAGGGGAAAACCAGTTTAATTTTACATTGTAATATATACAGAGTTTGGCTGTCAGTATAAATTGTAATATACTACAGATGCCGTACCTTAAAGCAGTGGTGGCCAACAGGTAGATTCTGCTGAATAACTACAACTATCATGATGCTTTCAGCTGTAGGGTTAGCAAAGCATTATGTGAGTTGTAGTTCTATAGCAGCTGGGGTCTCCATGATTGGCCTTTCGAGGGCCCTGTGCTCTAATGCAATGTAGTTTATGAACTCAAGTGACTATTACTGATTTGGTTGATTTAACCCTTTGAGTTCCTGAAGTATGCACTGGTCACAACCTAGCCACTCAAAGAGTTAAAAGAGTTAACCCTATACATTAAGGATAGTAGTATTGAAAAAACTAATTAGCTGTTAATAGAAAATATACAATGAGATTCAAGCAATAAGATATCATATCCCAGCCTACCCCAGCTCCATTAAACCCCAAGGGCACATGTAGATTATTGCAGAGACTCACTGACTAGGAGATAAGAGATTAGCCACAGTTAACTGTTTTGTTTTAAAACCAGCATTACACTCAAATGTCTGTAGCTCGATGAAATGAATAAGAAAACTAAGGTCTGACCTGATGGTGGATGAGACAGGCAACCCTCCGATAGTGCGGGATAGGGTGGAGTGGAGAGAAGATGACCTGCAGTGTCTGAGTTTCCTGTGGACCAATAATGCCACAGAGCCGATCAAAAGAGAAGACACTTTCTTTGTTGCCAATATAGAATTGGTAGTGGGCTGGTACATCTGAAGAATTGGTCATTTCAAATGTGCGCAGAATCTGCTCCCCCAGATTCACCAATCCAAAGTTCAGTACAGACTTCAGGAGAGTCACACATGGGCCTCCAAGAAAAAGTGATAACACAGGCAGAAGAGAAAATTAATAGCTCATCCAACAGGTTAAATTTCCTAATAAAGAAAGCAGCTCAGAAACACAGATCATACCTTGACACGTCCCTGAAACTTTAATTATGGATTTTGTGAAGTTACCAACTGGGATCACGTGGAAATAATCCACGCTCTCCATTCCAACAATACGTGGACGAAACTGCAATGGTATCCTGAGTGTCCCCTGCGCAGGAACGACTGCGTGCTCAATGTCACAGTAAAAATTACAGTCCACCTGAGGGGGTTTCTTATCACGTTCAATTCGAAAAGGTGAATCTACCTGTAGGTTATAAAAAAAAATGTAAAAGTCAGGTTCTCACATAAACTGGGTTATACAGATATTATAAATCTTACTGTGCCTGCGCATAATTTGTTATACTATGCATAGGATCCCACATTTTATTTTCCTGGTATATTCTAACGGAAGCCCCTGAACTGTCTTGGATCTTGATAGAACAGTCCTGATTTGAGACCCTGAGTCACTATCCTCCTCCAAAAGCTTGTAATGAGCAAAACCAATGCAGGGCTATTTCAGTCTCTGCAAGTGGGATAAAAATCTTTAAATTCTTTATTTAGATACCAGTGCAGCAAAACAGAGTACAATTACATTTGGTACAAGGCACAATACTATCATCTTGGAAGAAACTGTTTCAGTCCAGGGGTCATTGCAAGTTGCTCTGGCATAGCACCACACCAGCTTTTGGTAAATAATGCTAAGCCCCAAAGAAAAACCTCAACACAGAAGTAAGAAAAATACATTCTCTCTGTGCCATACAACCTGTCCTCCTGTTATTGAGCTATTGCCCCAGTGTGCTGGATTCCCTCCACCCTAGCCATGGTCTTATGAGATAATACCCCATCCAGTAGTATAATCATACCATGGGGATCAGATCTTTCATACCTGGGTAGTGAGTTATGTATGGTAGCTGTGAGCATGCCCATTAGGTGTGAATCGTTCATTTTAGCTATTACCTCCTGCAGTGAATGGAGTTCTGTCTGTAGCCAACTCACAGCCCTACGGGCTGCCAGTGTGGTCTTATTATATCATTTCTTCTAGTGTAGGGAACCCATTCAGTGGTTTGGATAATAAAAAGGAACACAGGTGCTACTGAACGTGCCTGTGAAATACTCAGGAGAGGAGGTTCAGGATATCGATGCAGAATGATACTACCTTACAACACCACCACATCTGTAGTTATTGTCTTTATCACTGCATGACCTCCATCATAGGTCTGTGGTTGTTCTCCCTATACGGAAGAGCTTGACTGGGATGGTGTGCCAGCACATCAGAATTTTGTACATCTGTTCCTAGTTTTGGATGCAGATAGACACCCCTTTTGCAGCATTCCATATATCCTCCTTGTCTACCCCCTTTAGAGTCACCCCCAGGTCTTGCTCCCATTGTTGGAAAATATTAAGTGATCAAGAAAATAGAAACCTATATATATCTTACAGCTCAGGAATAGTCCACATAAAGGTTGTTGCTTTTTATTAAATGTTAATACTAGTAATCCCCTTTGAATACCTGTGAAACTGACTTTAATGATACGCATTGTCCTAAAATGACATAAAAGTAAAATGATGAATGTAGATTGTCTGAATAACATACCTCTGACACATTGTGTATTTCAATGTGTTTCTCCTTTACTGCCCCCACTGCAACCGAACCAAACTGCAGGGCAGATTCATCCTCTCCACCGGCGTCCCCAGGAAATCTCACCACTAGGTGGGGGTATTTACCTACCGCAAAAAAAAAAAACAAGTTTACAAACAAAAATGCTCAAGGATTAGGTAGATTAAAAAGTAACTATAAGCAAGCAATAAAACTGATATTTATTAATTTCAGATTAACAGAAAATGGGGAAGTAAAAAAAAAAAAAAAAACCTATAAAATATTGAAATACTACAATGAGACCAAGATCAGGATACACAAGAATGTTAAACATGTGATTATATTGGAAATTAGAGAACAAGATAATAGCATCACATTTACTATGGAAAGGGACCCTATGAAGAGATTAAAGGAAAGCATCAAGCACAATACATACCTAGTACAATCCCATTAAACAATGTTAGCCCTGTTTGACACTTACTGGCATTCTGTCAGGTGCCAACATGCGGTTTCTGGTCTATTTAGAATTAGAGAATTCAGATGTTGAATTGTTCAATACAGCTACTTATTTAACACCCTGAGAAAACTGAAGCAGTTTGGGTGCCAACAGAACCCAGACAAGTGTCAAACTGTGCTGTAGTGATCATTGTCGTAATACTGATAGATAACTGAACAGAATACAATTATCAGATCTTGAGCTGAAAATAGTATAAAACTCCCAAAGCAAATATTTAAATTTATATATGTGTATGTTTATATATATATATTGTTTGTATATTGTATTTTTGTAATATTGTATCCTACTGTAACAGTGCAATGTTTTGTGGACCCAGGACATACTTGAAATCAAGAGAAATCTCAATGTATCCATCCTGGTAAAATATTTTATAAATAATTAAATAAATGATGGAGGATTGTGAGGTTTATATTAATCAACACTTGGAAAACAGCAAGAAGCCTACTGGTAAATTAAAGGGACAATGTCTACTAACCAATGGAGGTGATCTGCATGCTCTTCTCATATTCCTCATTCACTCCAAATCGACATATTGCTGTCACACTGTACACCAGCGCCACCTGTGGTTGGAACAGGATATTGATTCTAGTCTCGCACCGTGGGTCCAGTACACCACTAGCTGGACTCAGGACAAAGGGTTCTGATACTTCCCATCTGAACGATGTTGGCAGGTCACTAACCAAATATATTAGAATTTAGACAAACATTTAGAATCCATTAATTATTACAATGCTTTAAAAAGGAATCATTCCTTTGTCTTACAGTAAATCATGTACCATGAGTTGTGTAGGACAAATGATGTCTCGGAAGAGTGATAGACTGCACATGTGGGAAGGGTAAGTTCCTCCGGGAAAAGTAGCTTGTTTCTTGGGAGAGTAGCTCTGAGTAACACTGAAAAACTGCCTTCCTCTGTCTCGAAGACGATAGAATCTTCATAATCACGCTATTATGTGTTAGAAATAATTGAAAAGAATATACATTAAATATAATACAATGGTTTTATGATGTCAATTGTTATTTTTTTACTTTTCAAAACATTACTCACCATTACCACAAGATGGCAGAATAACACAGAAAACCATTACTGGATAAACTTATGCGTAAAAAAATAGAAAGTAATTTATTTTACTGGAAATTGGGGTGAATTAACAAGTGACAAAATAATAGTTGTTGTGGTTATGGTACCAGGAGTGGCTGGGTTATGGTGTCAGGAGAACTTGCTTTAGTGGTTATAGTCCCAGAAGTGCCAAAGTAAGTAGTGAATCTATTTTAGAAAGGATTGATATCTTACGTGGGGTGAGCCGTGTACCTATGCCACAGCTCTCACGGGAAAAGCTGAATGGCTCTCCTGAGCTAGGCATGGTCAGACAACTCCTTCACAACAACGTAAATTAAAATAATAAACTTTGGTAGCATAAATGGGGGGGGGGGGAAATGCTTTTGGAATCAAGAATACGTTTTCTATTTAAGAAATTACAAAAGTGATTATTTTGTTACCTTTCTTTTAACTGTAAATGCAAATAAAAAAACATACCTAGAAAGTTTCCCTGTATGAAGTTCTCACGCAAGGAAGAAACTCTTACCAAATAGATTCCGGATGCGCAAGTAAGTAATTAAAGGGACACTCCAGTGCCAGGAAAACAATCCGTTTTCCTGGAACTGCAGGTCCCCTCTCCCTCCCACCCCCCATCCCAAGTTGCTGAAGGGGTGAAAACCCCTTCAGTGACTTACCTTTATCCAGCGCCAATGTCCCTCTGTGCTGGTTCAGGGTCCGCCCATGCTCCTCCCCTGCCGACGTTATCCGGCGGGGGAGACCTATTGCGAATGCGCGGCCAGCGGCAGGGAAGACCTAATGCACATGTGCGGCAATGCACGCATGCTTATTAGATCTCCCCATAGGAAAGCCTTGAAAAATGCTTTCAATGCTTTCCTATGGGGATTTCAGCGACGCTGGAGGTCCTCACATAGCGTGAGGACGTCCAGCAACGCTATAGCACAGAAAATCTGCGCTATAAACCCAGAAGTGCCCTCTAGTGACTGTCTAGCAGACAGCCACTAGAGGAGGAGTTAACCCTGCAATGTCAATATTTCAGTTTATGAAAACTGCAATATTTACAGTTGCAGGGTTAAGGGTAGTGGGAGTTGGCACCCAGACCACTCCAATGGGCAGAAGTGGTCTGGGTGCCTGGAGTGTCCCTTTAAGTAGTTTAACTCCAATAGCAGTTCACAGATGATGATAGGAATTGCTGCATATACTATAACACCAGAGTTTCATTGTGAAATGCTGCAAAGCTGAAGTGGTTGTAGTACTTAGAGTAACCCTTTAAACCCCTTGCAAGAAATGATCACTTGTGCCAATCTTACCTTTTCCAGTGGTCTGAAAGTGATAGGGAGAGAGAACGATGTTCCTTGCATTAATGTGAGAGGCTGAGGAAACAGTGTGCTGAAGAAAGGGGTGCTTGGAGCACTGTATGAATAATAGAGAGAATTATTAATTATATTTAGTAACACATGTCTCTACCTCACTCCTACACAATATGTGGACACCGTTGCAGACATAATTGGCTTCTTTAAAGGGACACCCTGAGTTGATATTGAGTTCACTTTTTCTTTCATGGTAACAGGCATCTAGACACAATGCACAATAGATTCGTACAGCGTCACATCGCGAATGCACAAGAAGATCTAAGTTGGGCCCACTGTCCTCTGATCTTTGTTTTGTACGCTTGTGCTTTATGTAAGTTTGTACACCTTTTATTCTCCCCTCAGCTGCCACCACAGAATAGAACAAGTTGGGTTGGAAGTTTCTGCAAAAAATGCAAAGACCCTCTCCAGGTGATAGGGTGACTTAACCATGGAGATTTCACAAAGCAAAAAAAGGGCATCTCAATAACAATATTATCTTTAAAATAGATCACTTTTTGTGGTTCTATTTATCACTACTTGCTACTCACCTGAACGTAACCTTCTGTGTTTTTAATTTGACATTTTTCAGGGTGAGAATTTTGATGTTTTCTTTCCCCAGCTCCCAGTTCTGCCAGTGTAAAGATTTACAGACCTCGAATCCCATGATATCTCTCTTCTCCCTGGATTTCTTTTGTTTCTGGGATTTTGGGTGTATTTCAAAGGAAACATTTCTCTGCAAAAAAAAGTTATTTAAAAAAAAAAAATCAATCCCTTTAACCTATTGTCAGCTGATCACTCTCAGGCAATGAGCTAAACCCTGCACCTCTGGCTTCTAATACTCAGTGAGCAGTAAAGGAGGAGTGAAACGGCACTCAGTGGATCCCAGGTAAGAAGTCAAATAATTTTTAAATTGTTTGATTACTTACAATGCGGGAGCGCCAAGGCACGACTGACACTCTAATCACTAGAGTGGTGAGATTAATGGACTCAGTGCTTCCATTCATTTAGTGGAAGCCATTGAGGGTGTGCTATACAAAAGTGAACAGCTCCCATATATTCTAAAAATGGAAGCAATAATCGTGCTTGATTTCAATTGGAGAACATGAGTAGAACAGCCAAATTAGATACAAATGACAAACTGTGCTTAGGAGGAGGGTATTAACGCTGTACTACAGTGAAGCATCCAAGGGAGAGTTTAGTAAACAAATATGGGGTTTAAATATAAAGAGCAATTCAGGGGTAACGTTCTAAAAGTAGAGCAAATAACCACAACAATTCATTGGTTTCCATGGTGACTGATCCAGAATTAGAACTCTGCGCCACAATTGCCCTTTCTAAGCAATCTCTGTTGTTGCAAAGTATGAGGCAAGATTTATCATTAGGCCATTCTCTGCACAGACACAATGTTCACATAGATATGCAATATTTGAAACCAAAGATGGATAAAAACAGGAAATGGGATTCAAAAAACTGTAATGATAATACGGAAAGAAATGGCTTTTATAAAAATAAATATAGTCGGGGAACCTTGAAGGTGCCAGGATGTTATCTCAGTAAATGGCGCTTTTGACTCCCAGATATTTAACTGTTTCCTTGTGTAAATGAATATCCATCACTTACCAGCTTGAGAGAATCCTTCCTGCTATGCCCCACAAAAGGACCGGCATCTAAGGGTCGGGAATCCTTCCGGCTATGCCCCAGAAAATGACCGGCATCTAAGGGTCGGGAATGGAGCTGTGCCAGCATATTTGCAGTTCTTACCTGAAATGTTGAGTTTCAGAATCTGTACTGTGCATAATAAGGGATTGAGTCATTGATCAGTAAAGATCTACAAGTAACTGACACCTCTAAGTGCCATATTACCTTTTTGCTTCAATGCAGCTTATTGTAGCTGTTATGATGCAAGCATGAGAGCAGCCTCTCTCTGGTTTTATCACAACAGTTTAGGAAGTTTGAAAACAAAAACTATTCTCATCATGATCCCATTGCCTCCCCCTGAACTCACAGTCTAAATCTGAATGTCTAATAAAAAAGCAAAAATTCTATTTTATTTATTTAATTTTAAGCAAACCGGGTTCTACATCTAAAAGCAACAAGGAACACATCTAACTGTTAATCCTTTAATCCCTTACATTCATTGATAGGAACCAGCTATGCCTCAGCACTAGAGTCTGTGGTGGTGATATAGTGGTTGGCTTAACACAACATTGCCAAATAGTGGAACTGAATTCCCATATTTGTTTGCTAAGATAGGTGATTTTAAGTAACCTTGTAAAATTTTATTTTTGTTTTTGTGTGTGTGCGCTGTTCCTTTAACTGTATTTTGTATATATGCTGGTCGTTACAGCAGTACCACTACTTAGAAGTACATATTCTGGGTGTGCCCCCAATTTCTATTATTTCTGTGTAGATTTAGATTCCTATTGGGCTGCGCATGCCACTCATCCACAATGGGTGCTCCTTTGGAGGTGACAACAGGAAAGCATAAATTGAGGAGTCTCTGGAAACTGTTTAAGCAGTCAGTATTGCAATATATGAATAATAAATAAGGGTAGGATCCACCAATATTGGGCTTTACACGATATGGCGAAACTGAATTGGGAGTTGGGAAGTATGTTTTAGTGATTAAGGTTAGTAATCTAACAATGTGTTTTAGTCAAAAAATTGCTAACTTAAACAAAACAAAAACATACAACAAAACGAGTGTGAGGCAGCATGGGGGGCTGACAGCAATAAGAGAGTATGATGGAAGGCCAATAAATAAGGACCAGAAAATAAAAACACACACTCCAGGAGATAAGAATTAAACAGAAATCAGTAAGTTTCCAGTAAGTGTGTCCTCCTCCTGGACAGCTCCAGCACCCAATAGTCTAAGGCAAAGGAAAGGTTTTTTTACTGTAAGAACAATCAGGATGTGGAATTCTCTGCCTGAAGAAGTGGTTTTATCAGAGTCCATACAGATGTTCAAACAGCTACTAGATGCATACTTGCAAAAACAGAATATTCAAGGATATAATCTTTCAATGTAGGGTAATAACTGCTTGATCCAATGATAAATCTGACTGCCATTCTGGGGTCAAGAAGGAATTTTCTTCCTAGATTGTTTCAAAATTGTGCTTCAGACTAGGTTTTTTGCCTTCTTTTGGATCAACACCAGAGGGAGACTGGAGGAAATGTTTGATTTGGACAAGTCCATAGTCACTAAAGTGTTAATTGCCAGGTACTCAAAGTGATTTTAGGTCAAAATATCAGAATTGGGAAAGTCGAATAGTAAAGTTATTTACAGTAAAGTTTATTCAATAAACTGCAAATTGTTTCCAATTGAATCCAAGAGGCAAACTGTTCCCTACAATAGCTGATGGTCTCCAAGCCATTCACATTTATAGTTTGACCATTTTACCCCAGACCTTACCACTGAGATTTCAATTTGCTGCAGTTGGAATAATAATAATAAGTTGGAATATATGGGAATAATTGGGCATAATAATAATAATTGGGAATCATTGGGCATAATAATAATAATAATAATTGGGAATAATAATAATAATAATAATAATAATAAAAATAATAGGGAATAATAATAATAATAATAATAGGGAATAATAATAATAATAATAATAATAATAATAATAATAATTTGTAATAATTGGGTGTTTGGGTTTATTAATAAGTCTCTGCAGCCTCCCAGCAATTATTGCTCTACAACTACAACTCCCATCAATCTGGGCAGGAATGTGGGGGGCTATAGCCGGCAGGGCACCCCAGCAAGGCTGGCTGAGCATGATGGGGGTGGATTCCTAGCCAGTTTGAACTACCACTGCCAGCACCCTCAGCCACCGCAGGCTGGATAAGAGACAGGTTTTATGAAGTTTATTTGTGTTTTGAGTGAGCTCTGCCCTCTCCCCGGTCCCCTCCTCACCCAGCGAACTCTCTCACTTCACTGTCCGAGCAGCTCCAGGGCAGCCATGGTGGCTCCGGTTTCCTTGGCAACAAGACGCGGCGACCAGGCTGTGTGTTCCTAGCAACCACGGAATCCGCGAAGGGTCAAACCGCGCAGAACGCGAAGCAGCTGCTGCTAACACTAGGGAGTCTGGTTATATAATGGAAAGCAATGGGGGGAAGCTTTTACCAATCAAAGAATTTATTACAAGGGGTGACTGGCAGTCTGAGTACATTAGAAATATGTAAGAGGGAAAAAAAGGAGTTTATTTATGGAAATGGGATATTTGATATCCAGCCTCCATTCAGAATGCTATTCTAAATGAAGGGATGAGGATGATGGGAGCTACAGTCCATAAATGTAGACAGCCCTCCCATTGCCCTTAACCCTTACTCCCCCTCCCCCCAAACTGTTCTAACTGTATTCATAAACACTCCTGACTCTCTCTCATTTATTTATAACCCCCAGTCCCCTCCACCCAATAAAATACCAAATCCCCCCCCTCAAATATCTAGTCCAGCAATAATCTGATTTAACCCTAAACCTACCTGACTAGGGTATTATGGGCAGCGATCCCCAATTCCTCCTAACACTATCCCACTTTAAACCCTAAAGCCAAAATGGCTACCCCCCCTATACTTTAGTGACTCAATGTGGCACAGAGTTTAATGACTTCTTGCCTTTTGAAAAGTGAAAAGTAAAAACAAGTTGTTTTTTCAATTACATTGTAAACCAGTTTACCTGATTTAGGCCTCTTTTAAATAGATGACTCTTTACAGGAAGTGTTTAGGAAGGCTGTGCAAGTCATACGCAGGGAGGTGTGGCTAGAGTTGCATAAACAAAGTGATTTAACTCCTAAATGGCAGAGAAATGAGCAGTGAAACTGCAGGGGCATGATTAAGCTAAATATGTTTTGGTGACTATAGTTTCCCTTTAATATCTTGCATTTTGTTTTAACCATTGGGTCATTCATAAACAATAAACCTCACCCCTCCATCCCATGTATGCTCAGCAAAACAAAATTTTGTCCCAAAAGTCCTACATAGTGTTTTGATTGTTCCAGAACGGGTCTTCCCACAACAGGCAAACTAATTTCTCAGTCAAGAGTTAACTCAAGCCCCTTTGCATTCTCTTGATTTTCACATGAATTTTTAGCAGGAGACGACATGACTGTAACATTTGATGAAAAGTCAACTAGGTAACTGAGAAATTGCCTTATTTGGTTCGTACTACTATTGGTTTGAAAACACTACACAAACAAGCCTAGTACACTAATCCTGTCTCCTAAAAAGTGTAATTTTTCAATTATAAGCATTGCTGTATTTGCCGCGAGGCAAACAAGGCATTTGCCTTAGGCAGCACTTTCCAGGGGGCGGCCCACCAAAAAAACACCGCCCCCAAATGCACAGGAGCCTGTGTATCTGAGTGAGTGTGTTTTTGTATGTGTGTGTGTGTGTGTCTGAGTGATTGTGTATGCCTGTCAGTGTGTGTGTGTCTGTGAGTGGGTGTGTGTGTGTCTCTCAGTGAGTGAGTGTCTGCGTCATTGTGTGTGTATGTCAGTGAGTGTGAGCGTATCTGTCAGTGATTGTGTCTGTCAGATTGTGTCAAATCAGTGAGTGTGTGTGTGTGTGTCAGTGTATCAGAGTGTGTTTCTGTCAGTCAAAGTGTGTGTTAGTCTTTAACAGGAAGAGGTGTGGCCTTGGTGGAAAGGGGTGGGGCACATGTAAATTAGGTGGTGCCCGAGTTCCGTCATGCCTATAGCAGCACAGATCTAACATACACCACTAATTATAAGTGCTCATAATTTATTCATCCAATTATTTAAAAAAAATATTACAGCCAATATTTGTAAAATGGACAGAATTATGCAATACTAAGAGATTTATTTCAGTAAATTGGAAAAGACAATTTAATTGTTTTGTATAGTGCCGGTCACATACACAGCACTACACAATCAGAATAATACAGGCACAAAACAATTACCCCAAAACAAGCAATCCTTATCCCATTAATATATGGATTCAGCTTTACTGGCATCGCTCCACAGAACTTACAATCTAATTCCATTCATTTGGCACAAGGACCAATAAAGAAGTTTGTAAGTAAATCTTTGCCTGCAATAGAAATGGAAAGATCAGACTTTTTCAGTAGCTGACCTAAAAGTGCTTATTTTATTTTTTATTTTTGCAACTGACAGGTTTCTGCAATAGATCCTTTTATTGCAAGAATGTTTCACATGGGGTTTCTTGTCTAAACATTGAGTTGTGGCCAACATGTAGAATGTTAGGTACATTCATTTTTCCAATTCTACTATCAAAAAAAGTCTAAATTTCACAAGATCATTTTCAGTCCATCAAACGTCAGCCAAAATGTGTAGTCTAAAGTGCTTTATTAGCTATTAATTTAAATGATTTTGGCAGACTCCTAAAAATGACCACAAGCAAGGGGGCACAGTCAAGGCTTAAGGGCTTAATCACCCGAGCCTTAATAAAAAGAAAAGAAAATATATCCATCAATATCTGTAATACCACACATGGCCCCTAGGCTATAATACGTAAAGCTACTTCTATTTAACAGTCCCCTTTGGTTGAAAAGCATTTTTAAATAATTTAGAATTTTATCAGTGGCTAATGGTTCCATTCTATCTCCTTACTCTGTGCTTACTACATAACCCCTATTCAAATATATTTTCTATATATAATACTCTAGTTGACTTTCCTACACAGATAGGGAAGAAGACAATGTTAATGGGCCTGTGCTGTGTACCTGCTAACTCTCCTGGATCCAGAGAGAAAGTCCCAATATGAATTCCTCTCAGCATTCCTGGGTTTTATCAGTGTTCCAAGTCCACAATGGAGAATAGACCCCTAGAAGTCTGAGTTTAATAAAACCTGTTTATACTGTGTCCGCTAGATTATTTCTGCCCATATGCTCTCTCAGCGCTCTGTATAGAGACAGCCATCATTGACTCTCTCTCACTTGACTTGCATGCATTTGGTCCCCTTTCATGTACCCCTTCCAAATGCACCTTCAGACAAAGCCACCACTACTTACTGCCATACCCCAACTGTGGGTAGCCCTGATTTTGAGACTGTTGTACAAGCTATGTCCTTCTCCAGCAGCTCAAGGCAGTTCATTTTACACTGCAGGTGTATTTCATACAGGGCGACAGGGAGCAGGGATTTGAGTAGAGGGTATAAGTGGGATTAATGAAGATCTAATGAGATCAGTCTGTGTATACGCTATGAGTCATGCACCACGGGGGACATAAATCAGCAGACAAGGAGTGAGAAGCAGAACTGGGCCCAGTGCCCATATCCCCTTAGAGGAACCATAAATAGAAACAGCCAGGGCAAGGCCTGGTAAACGGCTCGCATAGCACGGCACTCACTGCATGAATACAGCAGTCCATACATCACTTTAATGCTTTTACTTTGCAAATTAAAGCTGTCACCGCACATTGAGCTGCACAATTTAAATGCTGGGCGTACTTCCATTCTCACTCTTCCCTTCATAGAACTGTTTCCCCCATACAGTCTTTGGCTATAAACTCTGCTAAGAGTGTGTTCCTAAAGTAAAATAAAGTAAAGATCGTAAACGTAGGCATCAATGGAAAAACGATCACTTTGGCACATGCCAGCTCTTGGCTAACTGGCTTCCTCCGCAAAGAAACTGCTGTCCGTCTAACTACAGAAACGTGTGATAAAAGCCAAATCCGTATCACTGTACAGTGCAGCTAAAACACTATAATCTCATCTAGTAACTGTATATAATGTTACTATGACGACACTGTGTGATGCTGAGAGAGTTTGGTATCTTTACCATGGTGGAAATATAACGTTATGCCTATCTTTCCTCCTCGCTGGGGTCTTATTTGATACCTAGCTTTGAATACACCAGACACCCTCTCCCCTAAACGCATAATGTCTCCTCACTTTTAATACTATATTGGTACTACTCCAAACTTTGCTTTCAGACTACTGAAGATGAATGAAGGTATAAACCAGATTAGATCAACCTTCACCCTCCTGCTGTTGTTGGTCAGAAGGCTACCAGAGAATTATTGGAAATATAGCCCAAAACCAACTTGAGAGCCAATGCTTAACATATACTGTATTCTTTACTCCATTCTAGACCAGCAACAAATCTTTGAGACTCCCTTTGAGAGAGTCTTTAATTGGTCACTTGGTAGAGAGGCTATGGTTGGTCACTTGGTGGGCAAGCTTTGATTGGTCACTTAGTAGAGAGGCTATGGTTGGTCACTTGGTGGGCAAGCTTTGATTGGTCACTTGGTGGAGAGGCTATGATTGGTCACTTAATGGACAGGTTATGGTTGGTCACTTGGTGGGCAGGCTTTGATTAACCACTTGGTGGAGAGGCTATGATTGGTCACTTCGTGGACAGGCTATAGTTGGTCACTTGGAGGAGAGGCTTTGACTGGTCATTCGATGGATAGTCTATGATTGATCACTTGGTGGAGAGGCTTCCATTGGTCACTCAGTGGACAGGCTATGGTTGGTCACTTGGAGGAGAGGATTTGACTGGTCATTCAGTGGATAGTCTATGATTGATCACTTGGTGGGCAGGCTTTGATTGGTCACTTAGTAGAGAGGCTATGATTGGTCACTTAGTGGACAGGTCATGGTTGGTCACTTGGGGGAGAGGCTTTGACTCTCGGTGGATAGTCTATGATTGATCACTTGGTGGGCAGCCTTTGATTGGTCACTTGGTGGAGAGGCTTCCATTGGTCACTCAGTGGAGAGGCTTTCATTGGTCACTTGGATGAATGGATTTAGCTTCTACTAGTATTGAGTTATATCTATGTACGTAGGATCATTCTAGATAACAGACCAACAAGGCTACTGGGCATAACTTAAAGTTTTAGAGAGACATAATGGGTTTATCTGTAAATTATTTTAAAAACAAACAAAAACATATGCTATTTTAAAAAATATATATTGAGATAAAACATTATAATAAACTTATGTCATCATTTCATAAGTCTCTCTTCAATATCTTCTGAAGGATGGCCTATAAACCTATTTTGCCCAACAAAGCCTTTAAGACGCTTATATATAAGACAGGCCTTTTATGGTTGTGAAGTGCCATTTGTTCAATATAGGCCAAACTATGTTTTTGTTTTAACCAAAAGAACCACTTGATATACAGGTGCAATTATATGACTCTAATACAGACATAATAGCATGGCCCCGGGATGAATGCAAGCTGTGGTGGTGAGGATGTTATTATCATGGAAGGTGTTGGACTCTCTCAGACATTTGGAATCTTTCTCAGAAACTGTTGGTTACCATATGCTCATAGACAGATTATACTTTGTATAGACAGCAAAGTGTTTCTCAATGGGTGTCTCTGTTTATTTGGCACATTATATTGCTATGATTTCTTAAGTAATGATCATTGCTTGATAGGAAAGGCAATATCTCTATATACACTTCTTTAGGCTGAGAAAAACAAGTCCTAAGAATATTTGTCAGTCCTGTCCTCACTCACCACACATAAAACTATGGGAAAATCCAGAGAGAGTGCTCAGAAATGGCCCAGTAGTCCAATGACCACCAGAAATAGTCCAGCCACTCCTGGCCGACTTCCAACATAAAGTTCATGAATTAATAGATCATAAAGTTCAGGAATTAATAGATCAGTTCCGAGCTGTTCCCCTGTTCTGTATCACTCTTCACTAGTACCATTATAGCCCCAACCCAACTCATAGTTCCCATGGCAGATAATTAGACATTAAATACATATAAATTAAATATCATTGCTAGGTCTTTACTCTCCACATTTGAGTGGAATTTTATGGCCTTTGATAAATAAATAAAATTAAGTTCGGTGTTGTTGAGCACCTGAAGTCCATCTATCCATGAGAACATCCAATGTGTTCCATCTCATGGAGAAGGTGCAGTAATATTGTCTTCTTCTGAGCTTAAGGATTCTGGGCTGTAGCTCAGCTGTGCGGTATGCCTCAAGATGTCCGTGCTTCGATCAGGACTGTGAAAGTCTCCATCTTCCTCTTCATCCTCTATATCTTCATTCGGTGTATTTTCAGTTACTATCTTTCCTCCACCTCTTGGTTTGTCTCCTTGGCAGATTGGTCCTTGTTCTTTAGCCTTTCGACTCCGCTTCCATTTCATCCTGCGGTTCTGGAACCAGATTTTTACCTGAAAAGAGTTTTAATGAGAGTCACTATCACTTATTCATGCCCAACAGGAAATGTTTTTTAGTTAAATACATGACACACTTACAAATATGTCTTTCTCATTGTATTTTTGTGCCTTGTAGTAAACCTTTTATTTTTGTATTTTTGTGCATTGTAGTGGACATTTTATTTCTGCGTTGCCGTGCACTTTTCTCTAAGGTGTTTATTCCCTACAACCTGATACACAAAAAGATAAATGTGTCTGGAGTTTCAAATCCAAAAATGGAATGACATATTTGTATTCAAAGGGAAACGCTGGTCACTAACACAACTTATTTAAATGTACTAAAAAGCTTTTTGTTGCGTGTTTAACGAACCACAAATGGGCATATTTAGAGAAAGAGGACTCCTTTTAGGTAGCCATCAGTGCCTTCTGTGTCTATTGTATGTCAAATTCTGTCGCCTGTGTGTGAATGCTCTGCAGCTCTGAGCTTCGGTCGTGGAGAAAATGTTTTTCAATCTGAACACTAGAGGGCACAACCTACTTAAACTAAACACGTCTAGAAAGTGCAAAAGACAAATGTAACCAAGATTTTTTGGAAAAGGGCACATTGATTTTCTTACATTTTTTAAGTGTATCTGGGATATGTATGTTATCAGTAGAATGAAAGTCATGTGACCATGTAGGAATCAGAGCCTGTAACCAGGGGAACAGTTGGTGCTTTAACCAACTGAGCTATCTCACATTCTACCACTGACGAACAGAGTAACATAGGGCAGGCAATATTTGTTGCATTCAACCTTAAGAGAAAAAGACACTGAGCTAAAGTGGTAATAAAGGCACTATGTGCAAATTTCAGCAATTCATGTAACTCGTGTTACAACGGTAGACTCTTCATTGAAAGATATTAGTTTTAGTGAGCTTTCAGAGAGTGAATTATAAGACAACATCGGGCATTTGTTTTATAACGGTCACATTTATTTATTAAAACTACCATAATTCTAGATTTTTATGAATAGCCTGCTTAATAATAATTACTCTGTCCACTGTGTACCGTTCTGGACTACAGTCGGAACAATGATCCAAAAAGAAGCACATATATATATATATGAATCCAAATTCAATTTGGAACCTTGACTGTGATTTTATGGGGGCTCTATGAATTTTTTAAGGTAACACAGTGTGGACGATGAGGTAGCTCAGCTACACTGGATGAGAAACAACAGGTTTATGCCTAGAATTTTCCACTTTTATCCCCCTGAGGTTGATAGAATGAGTTCCACTGAGTTGGGAAATAGGAACATAAACCAATAAACTTGTATTGGTGGCCATCATGTTACAAAATAGTACATATGTCTGTAGTTTTATTCATGAGACCTGGTCTAAAGAGCTTGCAATCACACTTTATTGGAAACTCGGTTTCCCCTTTGTTCTCTATTTCTGAATTAACTGTCTATCACCCAGCCTGCTTTTTATGGACAATAACAACATTTGCAGAGCCACGTTTGTAGAACTGATGGTAAGTAATATGGTGAATTCACAACAGCATCTCTGGGGAGTGACCACAGGATACTAATGCCATTTACTGCACCCACCTGTGTCTCAGTCAACATGAGAGCAGTCGCCACCTCGAAACGCTTGGGTCGTGATAAATATTTATTAAGTTTAAATTGATTCTCCAGCTCCAAGAGTTGCTGACTGGTGAAGGCCGTTCTGGGCCGTCTGCATTTCCCAATCAGGCCGGGTTGGTTAGAGGCTGGAAAAGTTAAAAAGGAGAACACAGATTATTACTCTGAATCATTATTGGGTTGGACTTCAGATGGAGGCACTTAATGCTATCCTTAAATTTCCCTAGTAGGTTAAGATTTACTTTTTTCACAACTATTTCTTAAAGTGTTTTCAATATAATAATACAATGGTATAATGTTATATACAACTGATATTTGTACAGTATATGTTTTTATAAAACATAATCATTTCATATCAAATATAATAAAACGTTGCCCTTAGACCAGGGAATATTATTTGCAATAGATAGCTAAAGCACTAACGTTTGTTGAAGATTAATCAATATACATTCAGATTCTCCTGAAGTTCTCTTGTTTCCTTCCTACTTTTTTCTACACTTAGTTTGTGCGATAATTCATGGTTAAAGCTGGACTTTGCAAATGAACTACCTGTGGCTAGGGCAGACATTTAGGATTTTTTGTGTAAAAAAAGGCAAATGATTGAGCGCTGGCCTATATAAGTATAAATATATATATATAGCTATAGAGAGAGAGAGAGAGTTCTGCCAAATCACCAAATGTTATATCGTATATTTTGGGAGATTAACACTTTCCTTTGCATTTATCTCTATTTATAATGATCCAATGTTAACGACCTTGGGCGAGATGGGCTGCAAGATGTTTTGTAAATAACCTGTGATGGTTTCAGTGAGTCTTCCTCTGAGGAGGATTCTACAAATATAGTTAATTTAGTTAGCTAAATAAAGCAGTTTTCATGTATAGATCATTCCCCTGCAATTTCACTGCTCAATTCACTGTCATTTGGGAGTTAAATCACTTTGTTTCTGTTTATGCAGCCCTAGCCACACCTCCCCTGGCCATGATTGACAGAGCCTGCATGAAAAAAAACTGGTTTCACTTTCAAACAGCTGTAATTTACCTTAAATAATTGTATCTCAATCTCTAAATTGAACTTTAATCACATACAGGAGGCTCTTGCAGGGTCTAGCAAGCTATTAACATAGCCGGGGATAAGAAAATCTTAATTAAACAGAACTTGCAATAAAGAAAGCCTAAATAGGGCTCTCTTTACAGGAAGTGTTTATGGAAGGCTGTGCAAGTCACATGCAGGGAGGTGTGACTAGGGTTCATAAACAAAGGGATTTAACTCCTAAATGGCAGAGGATTGAGCAGTGAGGCTGCAGGGGCATGTTCTATACATCAAAACTGCTTCATTAAGCTATGAAATATATAAAATATGTAAAAGAAAGTCCCACTTAACGCGTTTCGCCCAGTAGGCTTCTTCAGAAGTGTGGTCTAATTGCTTCTGAAGAAGCCTACCGGGCGAAACACGTTAAGTGGGACTTTCTTTTACATATTTTATGTTTATATTATGTTTTGTTTTATATTAAAGTATACTTTTAATTAGTTACTTTTATATTCATTTTTTACTTCCTGGATTCTGCATATCCTCGGTGGGGATTATACCACCTAAACTGTTTATACTAGAGCAAGTTATATGCTCAGAAAATTGTAAGTACATTACCAAATTTCTATTAATTCCATCAATAGTACTTACTTCACTATTGGCTGCTATTTCTTTTTTTTTTTTACTACGCATACTGCACTTCAAAATATCTGGACCAATTGGAACATCACATCCTAAGACGGGGATTATACCGTCCAAGCGCACTACAGCTGAGCTCTGTTATAGCTCATACAAATGTGAGTGGATTGAACTACAAGCTATAATCACCATCTCATAATATTTATTGTTACTGTATTGCACTATTATTTATTTTATTTATTCCGAGATCTCTGACTCATTGGAATTACCTACAAGTATATGTATGTATTATTTATATTTATAAAAGCGCGGTTTACATTTTTTTCTTTCGTATTAAGCTAAAGTTGTTCAGGTGACTATAGTGTCCCTTTAACCCCTTAAGGACACATGACATGTGTGGCATGTCATGATTCCCTTTTATTCCAGAAGTTTGGTCCTTAATGGGTTAAAGTATATATTTTAGTATTTGTTATACTTCTTATAAATAAGTGAAGAAAAGTTGTATGAAGTGGTAGGTCTTATTAAACCGAATACACCTGGAATCCTGAGGATCTTTTTGGAATTAAAATATTGAGAATTATATACAATAATTTTGAGAGAATTCAATTAAAGGACCACTATAGTGCCAGGAAAACATACTCGTTTTCCTGGCTCTATAGGGTCCTTGGGTCCCCCTCACCCTCAGGGCCCTCCTCCCGCCGGGCTCTAGGGTGAGGAAGGGGTTAATCCCTTACCTTTTTTCCAGCGCCGGGCTCCCTCGGCGCTGGGGACTCTCCTCCTCCTTTCCCCATCAGTGGCTGAATGCGCATGCACGGCATGAGCCACGCGCACATTCAGCCAGTCTCATAGGAAAGCATTCTCAATGCTTTCCTATGGACGCTGGCGTCTTCTCACTGTTAAAATTACAGTGAGAAGCGCGGAAGTGCCTCTAGCGGCTGTCAATGAGACAGCCACTAGAGGCTGGATTAACCCTAGTGTATGTTTACAGCAGAAAGGGTTAACCCTTGAGCTGAAGTGGTCTGGGTGTCTATAGTGGTCCTTTAAGTAGGAGGATATAATGCTCAAACAATTTGAAATGTTTTGTCAGAATTTAATCAAAATCAAAAAATGATATACTGAGCCGGTGTACACGATGTAGCGAATGGCTGTTTACAACAGATTTGTAATTCTGTGTTATTATGCTACCTGCTCTTTGCATTCCTAGGAGCGCATGTTTGAGTTTGCTACGTTGAAAACAAAATAAATTTGATTTACAAAAAAAATGAAGTTTAATAAAGAGAAGAAAAATAGAAGGGGCAGGAGTGGGTGGAGGAAGTAAAAAGATCCCAAAGTACTATCAAACGCAGCACTATCGCTGGATCCTGAGATTTTTGAGTAATTGCTAGTATAATAAATGATATAAAAGTCCAACCAATGCAACAAATCTAAGAGACTTTGTTTTTAGACATGACGTGATTTCTGATTCACCCGTCTCAGCTTTCATAGTTAATTTTTTAATTTATCGTGAGCACTCATATCATTCCTTCCCGTATGAGTTTATACCATGCAAGGCCTCGGTAGGTTAATCCGAGGAAAGGTCAGAAACAACAAAGAAAGTTTAAAGATAAGTAAGGATCAATTCATCTAATAACCTCATCCATCTCAAATAAAGCAAAGCAGGAATGAAAGGCCTTCATTGCTACACAGCTAACGCACACAATGAGCAGGTACTTAAATCTGCTGCAGCTCTATTGTGAGTCCGCGATTCACACCTAATGATAATATTTACACGGGCGAGCAAATTTCCCCTTCGCAGCCACCTCTGAGCGCTGGTGCACTCTGACCTGCCCCTCTGCGTTCCAGATAACGCTGTGTAAACCATTCTATAAACTGGGTGTCTATCTGTGTTTGTAGACCAATCACTAGTTATTAAGACAGCTGATAAAGACAGCTTGCTAATATTGATTGCCAGAATCTAAAGCACTTATTCATTTATCTTTGCTTTTGGCAGAGTGTTCCCTTTCTGCTGTTCCGCTGGTTTTGAACCTTGGCTTGCGATGTCAGTAGTTCATTTGGGAATGAGTCACTGAAAGGTAAACTGCAGTTTGGGATCAAAGAAATGTTTCCCAAAACAAATAATTAAATAATGTTTCCTTTGGAAGATTTATATATTATATATATGTGTGTACATTAGGGATAGAAGGATTATCGGTTCCTCTGATAATTAAAGCCAATATTCTGCATCTGATATCGGTATCGGTATCGACCTTGTAATTTATCGCTATTACTGATAACTTACTCATCTCTACCAGTCACCACACTCTGTTTTTTGCATCCAGAAACTCTGGCTGGCAACCAATGATGCGCCACACCGTGACCTCACGTTAACCCGCTCCCTGTGAGTCAGGGAGGTGAAACAGTGAATAATCTACTGTAATGTACTGGGCTGGCTTACTGAGAGTGATAGGAGTGTGATTGCTGTCAGCAATCAAACTTCTCTTGGTAACAGCACTGTACATGTTGGGATCTCAGGGATCCCAACATGTACTCGCTGTCTGAGAGTGATTGAGTGTGACTGCTGACAGCAATCAGACTCCTATCAGTACTTGCTGACATCTCACTATTCCTGAGAGTGCAAATCAAACAAATAGAGGCTGCGCAAAATGTTGCTATGTGCACAAAAAAAAGTGATGCCAAAATAATAAACAAACGTTTCGGGTACAACCCTTTTTCAATGCATCATGGTGTAACCGGAACGTTTGTTTATTATTTTGTCCTCCAATAAATTTTGGCAGCACTTTGTTTGTGCACATAGCAACATTTTGCGCAGCCTCTATTTGTTTGATTTGTACTGTGGATTGTCACTGTTTGCGCAGCAGTGAGAGGTTTTCCTGCATTTGTGAGTACTATCTTTTTCGCTATAACTGGATTTTTTTTATCCAGTTCCTCATACCTTGTTTTGTGTGGCCACACTGATAGTTGTCTATTCCTGAGAGTGATAAGAGTGTGATTGCCGTCAGCATGTTCAGTTAGTGCCAGATTTATTTATATAATTGTGTTACTTTTTCAAAACTTTGTGGAGAATATTGGCAGCGGCTATCATCAATCGACCCGAAAAGGCGACCGATAATCTGTATTGGCATGAGTTCTGAAAAAAATTATATCAGTTGATCCCTGCACACATCCACATTCCTCCTAACAGTCCTGGGGAAGGTAGGACAGTCCTGATTTGAGGTTCCTGACAGTTTATCCTGGGTTTGTTCCCTGATGAAACAAACCCAACGTGAGCACATGATTAAACATGCACACTGTGCAAACTGAGCTGACGACATTCCCCGCCTGTGAAAGGGCTTCAATAACGCTTTGTACATGGCTACCCTGACTGGGGCTGCTCTCCCAACACCGTCACACCCTGAATTCATACTTTCCACTGTTGGGAGATATGATACAGGGAGAGACAGAAGTCACTGTATTCAAGATAGCAGTTACCCAGACAGCAGAAGGCTGGGGTGCACCTACATCACGGGTAACATCAGGAAGGTCTGAGAGAATTTCTACAGGTATTACAGAGAATAAACAGCAGAAAAGAAACAGATTGAAGGACTGTACAAAGGATAGATTAGGGTGTTAAGATTTCTTATTAGATCAGTCTCTCCATTGTCTATTCTGGTCAAACTTAAATCTTTTTTCCTCTCCTTTTACATCAACAACCATCACTGAAATAATGCTAAAGAAGTATATTGCAGGTTGGTATGGTCCCTGGTCCCCATGTAAATCATATGATGTCAATGGCATATACTAGTAGAGTATACTGGCAATATTTATCTCAACAAATCCCCAACAAGAGTATTTTGTGGATGTTACTAAACAGAAATACAATGTCACGATTACTAGAAGTGATGTTCTATTATGGGTACCATAAAAAATAAATAGTGTTATAATTTATTTTTTGTATATAGCAAATAAAAAAATATGAAACTAAGTGAGCCCCTTACATTTTAAAGTTATATAGTTTATTATAACAGCACCATGTTGCTTTAAATTTATTATCATATCATAGAATGGTAGCCTGTCCCTGGAGCTGAACTCCTTTTTAAAAAAATAAATAAATTGCAAACAGAGTCAGGAGCAGAGTACCGCAAATAGAAACTGCAGAGCTGTACAGAATCTGTGAAATTAACAAATCAACTTCAAAATGAAGACATTTTTTTATTTATTTTGGTCTCCCCAAACAAATAAATGTATTTAAATTTGGAATTTTTATTTATTTTTGCGAAATATATATTTTTTCTTTTAAAATTGCCCATATTTTGGAAAAGCAAACCAGAGGCACACAACGCAACAATATATATTTAGGGGTATAAACGCTGAACTCCGAATTGTTGTGTGTTAAAACCCGAATGAGAATATTTAGGAACAAAAGATCTATTAATTTAGTCCTATTTTGTACCATTTGGATCTTAATTCACTACAATTTGGAGCTTTGTGAATAAACTGCTTTGAGTGTACAAACAATTACATCTAAAGCAAAGTATTTTTTTTAAAAAATTGTGTTGTGAAAACAACTACAACTTAGAACAAAAAAGATGCTTAATTGTTACACTAACCTGAAAATAAAATAAAAAAAATACACACAAAAAAAACCAAACAAACAAATTCTAAATATTTGACAACTGTTAATAACAGACCCACGGTATGATCTAAATTACACCTTTTTGCAAAGTGGAAAACTAAACACTTCTTATCTTCTGTCAATAAAATGTACAGAATTAATAAGCGTATTAATAACAGCAAGCTCTGTGTTTGCTGGGAAGGCAATAAGACAGGAGACTGTGAGCCTTTGTTCAGCCAATAATTTAATCATTAAACCAAACAGTTTTACTCAGTTTATATTAGTAGCATACATTGCTATGGAATGAAAGAAACATTAATTAAATATTAAACACACTGAATAAATAAATGACATTGTGTAATGCATGAGAGAGATAGATAGATAGATAAATAAATAGATAGATAGATAGATAGATAGATAGATAGATAGATAGATAGATAGATAGTGTGGTAGATAGATAGATAGATAGATAGATAGATAGATAGATAGATAGATAGATAGATAGAGTGATAGATAGATAGATAGATACTGCCACACAGTAATGTATTTTTTAAATAAGATTTATAGCTTTGAAATCATTTGGGTTCTGAAATTGGCTATACATTCTATTATTTTATTCTATTTTTTTTTATATAGATATATTTTTTAATCCTTTTTAGAATTTATAATTTGTCATAGTTTGTGTGCTGTTGGTTTTCTATCATTTGAAGTACCACTTAGTTATCTCTGTGCATTAGGGATTAGATTTAAGGAATGATGTTGGATGATTTAATGCCCCTGAACTCACCCCTTCCTGTTACATTGAGTCCTAGAGAGGTTCAGGACTAACCCTAATCGAGCCGCACAGATCTATTCTCCTTGCTCTCTTATCCCCAATGCAGAGGATGCAGGGCAGAGAGATCTGTGTCACTGTGAGTGCCCCATTACCCCTAAAGAAAGAGAGAGATTACCCAGAACATAATGTAGTTAAATTACAAAATGAAATGTTGATTTATTTGAGCTTAATATACCCTTTATTAATGCCACATCTTTTACAGGCATTAACAGATTACTTATTAGGTTACACATGCAGAACAAAGCACACACTACACTCCCTTTAAACAATCCCACAACTAACACACATCCCATGCACACCCCAACCACTAACCCTGCTCACTGGGGTGGGAAGGGAGCTCTTTACAAAGCTTAGTGTACTCTAGACTAGTTTCTTCCCACAGTTAAAATGTTGATGTTCCAAAGCCCCTAAGCAAGCCTTGGATCTTCCAGCTATTATTGGTATACAACCACCATCATTCTCAGCCAGCTGAAGGTTGAGTCATTGCCAGTACAGTCATCCTTCATTCAGAATTCTATGCAATGGCTACATCTCACTGCGGATGGCTGGCCATGCTGTTAGTACATCGAATGGAAGCGTTATTTATTTATTAATTGTATACTAGTATTACACACCGGCAGGTATGTCAGTAAATGCTGATTGGTTGGCTCACACAGTCCTTGTAATAATGTATCTCGTAGTGTGATGGAAGTAACCTGCATACATTATAATATCTTATAAAGAAAGCACCTCCACTTCTTACGTATTAAAGAACTGGTAATCTAGAGGGCATGTCCGTCCTTCTTGCGTTACTCGTAATAGTTCTAGAGAAGTCATGTTAGACCATAAATCCTTGCTCACTTTAGAACAATGATTCCCAAGCCAAACTCCAGGGAAGAGCTAGCAACATTTGGCCATAGGAACACGTGCGAATGAATGTCCTTTTTTGCTCACCAGTCTGTGTGGTTGGTCCTATTCACAAACAATATCTGGGTGTGACAGATGGAGAATGCTGGATACGGAGTGATAGCAAATATCCATGCAACCTCCATCAGTATGACCGGCTCAGCATGACAGAGTATTCACAAAGATCTGTATTCCCCGTGACAGCATTGCCCCCAATGTCACATCTCACCCACAGCCACTAGCAAACACCTCCACGTCATACATACTGAAAATAGTCTGGCAGCCGGTACTGCAGGCACCAGTTAAATATCTTAGTGGACCAGTTCAGGCCTGGAGAGATTTGAGACTGTGGGCCACCAGCCCAAGCACAAGCCCTTGTAGTGCCAACGTAGCAAGGGGCACAGTGCTGAGGTAGAAAGGGGCGCAGTACTGTGTTAGGAAGAGGCACAGTGCCAGGGTAGAAAGGGGCACAGTGTTGGGGTAGCAAGGGGCACAGTGTTGTGGTTGAAAGTGCCAGGGTAGCAAGGGGCGCAGTGCCGGGGTAGCAAAGGGGGCAGTCCTGGGGTATGAAGGGCCGTAGTGCCGGGATAGCAAGGGGGGCAGTGCTGGGGTAGGAAGGGGCGCAGTGTCAGGGTAGGAAGGGTGCAGTGTTGGGGTAGAAAGGGCCAAAGGGCAAGGGGTGCAATGTTGGGATATTAAGGGGCGTAGTGCCGGAGTAGCAAGGGGGCAGGTGCTGGGGTAGTAAGGGGCGCAGTGCCAGGGTAGAAAGGAGCGCAGTGTTGGGGTAGCCTGTTAGTGGCCCAGGGGGAAATAGCCATTACAACATTCAAGCCACAACATCAGTTCAGGTTTTGCCAGTATCCCCATTGAAGAATGTCCTCTCCTGAACTGTTGGGAGAGCCTTGAGAACTTTGTCTACAAGACAGAGGAAATACAGGAATCTGTGCCAGAGATGGAAACTGGCTTCTCACCGGCTGGGGTGCGAGAAGTTACCTATTCCAAGTTTTAGGATTTACAATCAGGGGCCTCTGATGCCAGGAGCTAACCCCCACCCGGCAATCAGATCTCCACCAGCACCAGCAAGGCTGAGGGTTTAAATGGCTCTGTTATTTAGAGCCCGGGCTTTGCAATAAGACAAAGGAAGGAGGAGTTTCATGTTTGTCATGTCCAGCACAAAGAAGGCACTTACTGCGTGATTTATGGCCACTGAACCCATTCAGTTTTAATTTATTGAAATGTCCTTGAGAAAGAAACAAATGAAACAAAAGTGCACTAAATGTCAGCTCTTCAGACTGGAAACATCACTCTATTTAATGCATTTGCACCCGCCTCATGTCAGCGCCCTGTGTTACGCGTGGAATTATTGGGCATTCTAGCACTGCGGAGATTTGCTCTGTTGGTGGTTTATACTGCCAGGCAACTCTGCATAATTAAATATTATCTGCATGTATTAGAAAAAAACAGGATAGGCCCCTTCACTGGACACGGCCCGGTCTCTACGCAGGTGTTGTAATAGGGCAACTTTGGTTGAAGCTGTGAAAGAAAGATTTTGGAGATAAACTGACAAAGTTGCCATCATTTCACACAAGTAGCAATACTTCTAATTCCAAGCATCAAACTTGGTTCTTTAGGTCCAGTACACCGTGATACAAAAATACGGAATGGCAATACTGAGCGGCCACAGGCAGACAGATAAATATTTATTTTTAAATTACGTTTAATGTATGGTGAATCCATAAGAACAACGCCATGTAGGAAGGGGGGGACAGAAAATAGAAAGAAAAAAAAAGAATCAGGGTCTCCCGAACAACTCCTAACACGACAGAGTCTTGGAATTGCCCCTTGATTTGTGTTAACCCTTTTTAGGTGGGTATCAGATAATACTGATCCAGTAGGAACGATGAGTCTAGGCATCCTTGGCCACTCTGCATGTTGTGGACTACATCTGCCTTAATGCTTTGCCATCATTATGGCTGTAAGAGTATGATAGGAGATGTAGTCCACGACATCTGGAGTGGCAAAGATTGTGCCTACCCATGCCATAGACTATGAAATAAATAATGGGTTCATATCAAGTGGCCACAGTTTGAAAGGTCTCCATCTTAGTTGAGTTACCTTTTATTTAGCATTTCATATTCCCAACTAACAGTTTATTTTATTTTTCTTGTAGTTTCCAAACGCTGTTTCTGCGAGAGGTGAGGCAGACTGACTCCACTTTCTTAAAGCATTTGAAATATTCTGAATAATAGTTTTATATGTTAATCATTAATGTTCCTTAAAGAAAGTCTAAGGATCGTTTGAATGGGTTTCTAAAGTGTATGTGTGTTTCCTGATAATTCTGTTAAGTTTTGATTTGTACTTTGAATCCACACTGTGACGGCACATCAGTAATATCAGTCTGGTGATGAATTAACTTCTTTTATCAGATTCAAAGACAAGCCGAAATCTTCTTCTCGTCACTTCTTGTATAACTTGGTCCGTAATGCAGCAGATGCCAAACCCACTTAGCCAACAAATAGCAAACTTACATTAGATTACGCTTCTGACAAAACATATTTGTGAAGCAGTAAATTAACAAAATCGCCAAAACACAAGAGAGCAAATAAAGTAACTAAAAAATCCACTGACTAAGAGAAAGGTATTCACAAAAGGGACAAAATGTTGGTAATTTAAAACTAATTCAGAATGATTTCCAAATGCTGGGTTAAAACAGTCGACTTGAAAATAAATTGGAATTCTTCCAGTTAGTCTATTGTGATCTATTATTCGATGTTCACTTTAGGGTTTATTCGCTAATCTCAGAATTGAATAGAATAGAATAGGACAATATAGGGTAAAATTGCTTATTTGGAAAAACCCTTCTATAGTCACAGCTTTACTATTTCAAAGTTAATGTTGCCATTTGTATTTTATTGGATACCACTTTTATTTAGTAATTATATTTATTTTGCATTCTTGAAATGTGCATGCTAGTTAATAATCCAGATAGCGGCCAATTAACATGGTTTACACCGAAATAAATATACAGAATGAATATGGAGCCACCTGTGAACTTGTAATATACATGTAAAGAATATTAGATTTAATCATGTTATTGGCACAGTATCCCTAACAAACTTTAATTTACACACAACTAGGAAATATATGGTGGAAAAAATGCATGTGAAATAGTTAACTAATATGGTCAGTGTTCACAGAGATCTCCAAGGTGGAGAGACTAACAGGGAGAGGCCACTAGGAGAGTTATTCCAACTTGGGTGCAATTTGTAAAACTGCATATGCAAAGAGGATCATGGGTACCTGGTATCACCAAAATGGTGTCACCCTTGACCAGGTCTGGGAGGTATTGGCAAGGTGATCTAATTTTTCTCCGGTGATGAGTTTACTTGTTTTTATTAAAGTTAATAAATGTTTGTATTTTAAACTACGATTTGCAATTGATTAAAAATAAACCTGTTCTACCAAACTTTTGTTGGTTTGAGGAGATAATTAATGACTATTTCTTTGTATAAATGAACAAAACAATTATCTGGGTGAGAGAGAGATTATCTGGGTGCACGTTGTGGTGTGGGTGGTTGAACTCAATTTTTTAAAAGTTATTTTTAAGTAAATTTGACCTACACATGAAACATCTGTCATTGTATTAAAAATGCTGGTTATTAATCTCACATATACAAAATAAAACTAAAGGGGTTTATTCACTAAACCAATTTAATCTCTATGTGTCTGGGAGTTACGAGAGTTGTAGTCTATGTAGATTATTTTGCTCAGTATTTTGTGCAGAAACAAAGCATAACACACTACAAGCCATGCAGCACACCCCTCAGCCCTCCCCAGGGGCATTAAATCAGACTGTTGACATTAGTTTCAAAGGATTATCAGTGAGGACAAGGGCTGGTGATTGTCTGACTCCCAGGGGCCCTCATTAAAGACAAATGCTCAATTAGAGAAAACTAGATACAATGTGTCAAACCCTCATTCTCCCACAGAGAAACCTTACAATGGATCTCATGCCACCTACCTGTCAACCTTTTACACAGATTATAAGGACATACCTTACATAGACAGCAGGGTTTATAGGACCTTCCTGTGACATAAATAGCAGGGGTTCAGTTTATCCTTACACTCAATGTGCACCTACCTGCCCAACAGACTATGGGATGAAATCCCTGATATTGGGAATTAATGTCACCAGTCTAACAGAAAGTAAACTCTTTTCACATGAGTATCAGACAGTGTAACCTCCACAATGAGCACCTACCTGCTCCAGGTATCTGCAAAGCTTACAACTTATAGAGGAACTTCACACCTGTTATACCTCAGTGTACCCCCTGTACAGACTACTAATTCAATCAGGAACTTCCTACCTTGTATGTGGAGTGAGAGGCACCATTCATTCCTTGTTATAGGGTTTTATATTAAACTTTCCATATTTACTGTCCTGCCCCCATACTACCACAGATACCCATCACCTAATTGCCCTCCACACAGATACCCATCACCCGTTGCCCTCCACTCCAATACCCATCACCCCATTGCCCTCCACCCAGATACTCATCACCCCATTGCCCCTCCACCCAGATACCCATCACCGCATTGCCTTCCACCCAGATGCCCATTACCGCATTGCCCTCCAACCAGATGCCCATCACCCTCCACCCAGATGACCAGTACTTACAGTGTAGGTCATGTCCTCTGTGCAGGAGAAGTCCAGCCCTCAGCCAGTGCTCCAGGGGCAGTGAGCCTGCCTTGAGGTGGTCGCTCCCAAGAGCAGGGCCCCCAGAGAAGCCGCTGTATTGGAAAGCTGGATGTGGGGCCCCCAGGGTAGGCAGGTGATATAAAGGAGTTGGGTACAGGCTGGGCAGAGGCAGGAAGCCAGCCTTGGGGAACAGCTGAGCCAGTGAGGCTGACTGAGACATTTGGTGCTCTCTGCCCTGGTGGGGTAACAGAAGGGGGCGCTCCTCCGCCAGTAGGGCATCAATCCTGAACCTCTGAGAGTTTTCCATGATCTTCTGCATTGGGTCTGGCTGACCTGGGGTATCTGTGGTGCAGGGGGTATCTTCAGTAGCAATGACTTTACTGCCCCAGAGGAACCACACTTGTTCCTGTCCCACAATGTGTTGTGCTGAGGTAAGTGGCCCTTGGAGTGTGGTAAGTGGCTACCTGGCTAAAGTCTCTTTCTAGTATAGGTCAGTGGGTAAGGGCTGAACTCTTCATTCCCATGCTAAATCCAACTGGTGTTGGGATCCTGACACCTGTGGAGGAAGGTTACCTTCTCTGTGAGCATTGCTGGACCTGTGAGAGTCTCTGTCGGCCAAATATCCCCCTTCAGGTGAGTGGTTCCCCAGCATCAGGTGACCCCCTGTCTGATGTTTCAGGCCCCCTTTAGTGGCAGCACGTGCTGTGAGGTGACCCCTTTCCTCCCTCCTTGGGCTGTGGAAATCTTGTCTTCTCTCCTGTGTCTGAATCCTTCTCACCCTCTTTCATCTCCTGTTTCCTTGTCTGCTCTCCTGCTGCTGCCTGGTCCTCATTGGCTCCAAATAGTTATCTCACCCCTCACCCTCCACTACTGTCCCTGATAAGTGGCAAAAACTCATTTCACTAATTAAGTCATTAGACTCTCATTTCAAACCAACCCTCTCAGAATAGGACCCAACCAGTTCCTGCTGTGTGGAGAGAGGGTGTGAATATTCATTGGGAGGCTGTCTGGGCTCTCTATGGGACTCTGACATCATTGTTTGAAGAACACAGAGCTCCCATCAGCTAATTAATGGACCCTCTGAGAGCCTGTGTCACCCAGGGCAAATGTCACATCAATAGGGTCCTAAAACCAAGACCCCTTACACTTAAACTGTTTGCACTGACCTCTTTAGCTTTCATAATAGATGGCGTTCTCGCTCTCATATACCTCACACATATACCAATATTTATATACACACACCTACCAATATTTATACACACACACACACACATACCAATATTTATACACACACACACACCAATATTTACATACACACACACATCAATATTTACACACACACACACACACACACACACCAATATTTCTATACACACACACACATATACCAATATTTACATACACACACACACACATCAATATTTTACACACACACACACCAATATTTACACACACACACACCAATATTTCTATACACACACACACACACACACATATACCAATATTTATATACACACATACAAATATTTATACATGTCACACATATACCAATATATACATACACACACACACACCAATATTTATACACACAAATACACCAATATTTATACACACACATAGACCAACATTTATACATGTCACACATATATCAATATTTAAACACACACGTACCAACATTTATACACACATATATACCAACATTTATACACACACTCACACACACATGCCAACAGTTATACACACACATATACACATTTATATACACATATATACAACACCAACATTTATACACACACAAATGCCAACATCTATACAAATACGCATAAACGGAAATATACCAGCATTCACACACATGCACACACACACACATATATTAACATTTATACACACATACATATACAAACATTTATACACACACATATACCAACATTTATACACATACACCAACAGTAATACACAAACACATATACCAACATTCATAAAGACATGCATAAACACACATATACCAACATTCATAAAAACATGCACATGCGTATGTGAGAGGTGGAGTTGCAGAATGTAAGGTGCAGGGTAAGAGGTGAAGGCTGTAGGTTGCTGCAGGTACAGATAAGTGGACAGTGCAGGATGAGGAATGTAAGGTGCTGGTTACTCTGTACAGGGTTAGAAGAAAAGTGCAGGCTGAGACATGGTGCCTGAATAGGTGTGAAGGTCTCAATGCAGGTTGCTTCATGCTGAGTGAGAAGTTAAAGCTGCCAGTGCTGAGGACAAGGTCTCTGAGGGCAGGATGTTGCGTGCATGATAAGAGGTTCAGGCTGTGAGGAGATACAGGTTGTTAATGCTGGGTGCAGGTTGCTGTATTCACAGTGAGAAATACAGTATGTGAATGCTGGGTGCAGGTTGCTGTATTCAGAGTAAGAGATGCAGTGTGTGAATGCTGGGTGCAGGTTGCTGTATTCAGAGTGAGAGATGCAGGATGTAAATGATGGGTGCAGGTTGCTGTGTGTAAGAGATGCAGGATGTAAATGCTGGGTGCAGGTTGCTGTATGTAAGAGATACAGGATGTGAATGCTGGGTGCAGGTTGCTGTATTCACAGTGAGAAATACAGTATGTGAATGCTGGGTGCAGGTTGCTGTATTCAGAGTAAGAGATGCAGCGTGTGAATGCTCGGTGCAGGTTGCTGTATTCAGAGTGAGAGATGCAGGATGTAAATGATGGGTGCAGGTTGCTGTATTCAGAGTTAGAGATGCAGGGTGTGAATGCTGGGTGCAGGTTGCTGTATGTAAGAGATACAGGATGTGAATGCTGGGTGCAGGTTGCTGTATTCAGAGTGAGAGATGCAGGGTGTGAATGCTGGGTGCAGGTTGCTGTGTGTAAGAGATGCAGGATGTAAATGCTGGGTGCAGGTTGCTGTATTCAGAGTGAGAGATGCAGGGTGTGAATGCTGGGTGCAGGTTGCTGTATGTAAGAGATACAGGATGTGAATGCTGGGTGCAGGTTGCTGTATTCACAGTGAGAAATACAGTATGTGAATGCTGGGTGCAGGTTGCTGTATTCAGAGTAAGAGATGCAGCGTGTGAATGCTCGGTGCAGGTTGCTGTATTCAGAGTGAGAGATGCAGGATGTAAATGATGGGTGCAGGTTGCTGTATTCAGAGTGAGAGATGCAGGTTGTGAATGCTGGGTGCAGGTTGCTGTATGTAAGAGATGCAGGGTGTGAATGCTGGGTGCAGGTTGCTGTATTCAGAGTGAGAGATGCAGGATGTAAATGATGGGTGCAGGTTGCTGTATGTAAGAGATGCAGGATGTGAATAATGGGTGCAGATTGCTGTATTCAGAGTGAGAGATGCAGGGTGTGAATGCTGGGTGCAGGTTGCTTTATGTAAGAGGTGCAGGATGTGAATGCTGGGTGCAGGTTGCTGTATTCAGAGTGAGAAATGCAGGATGTGAATGATGGGTGCAGGTTGCTGTGTGTAAGAGATGCAGGATGTAAATGTTGGGTGCAGGTTGCTGTATTCAGAGTGAGAGATGCAGGGTGTGAATGCTGGGTCCAGGTTGCTGTATGTAAGAGATGCAGGATGTGAATGCTGGGTGCAGGTTGCTGTATTCAGAGTGAGAGATGCAGGATGTAAATGATGGGTGCAGGTTGCTGTGTGTAAGGGATGCAGGATGTGAATGCTGGGTGCAGGTTACTGTATTCAGAGTGAGAGATGCAGGGTGTGAATGCTGGGTGCAGGTTGCTGTATGTAAGACATGCAGGGTGTGAATGCTGAGTGCAGGATACTGTATTCAGAGTGAGAGATGCAGGATGTGAATGCTGGGTGCAGGTTGCTGTATTCAGAGTGAGTGATGCAGGGTGTGAATGCTGGGTGCAGGTTGCTGTATTCAGAGTGAGAGATGCAGGGTGTGAATGCTGGGTGCAGGTTGATTTATGTAAGAGATGCAGGGTGTGAATGCTGGGTGCAGGTTGCTGTATTCAGAGTGAGAGATGCAGGATGTGAATGCTGGGTGCAGGTTGCTGTATTCAGAGTGAGAGATGCAGGATGTGAATGCTGGGTGCAGGTTGCTGTATTCAGAGTGAGAGATGCAGGATGTGAATCCTGGGTGCAGGTTGCTGTATTCAGAGTGGGAGATGCAGGATGTGAATGCTGGGTGCAGGTTGCTGTATTCAGAGTGAGAGACAGAAGGTTCAGGTTCACCATCGCACAGTGTTACGGTGTATCCATCGCACAGTGTGTATCTATAAAGAAATGCAGTTAATTTTAAGTAGCGTAAAATTTAAAACTGCATTTTTGTGTTTGTCTTTTTTTGTGTGTGCAGTTCCCTAATCTGTATTTTGTATATATTTTGGTCTTTATGGCAGCATCACTACTGGGCTGAGTACCCCACCCACCCATCCCCTATGTGACCACAGGAAAGCATAAATTGAGGAGAGTCCAGTTTAAGCAGTCAGTATTGCAGTTAATCTCCCATGTTACAATTAGTGTAGGACCCACTGATATTGGGGTACTGCAAAGTAGTTGTGGGCTTAACACAATACGACTATATGGTGGAACTTTATCCCCATGTCTGTTTGCTGAGATAGGTGATTTGAAGAAGCCTTGTAAAATTTTAAAATTTATTTATTTATTTTTGTGTCTGAGCAGGAAACTTTGTCCAATTCTTCTATTATTCTACTTCAAATATGTTTTTGCCTAAAATTTTAAATTCTCTTGTTAATTTCAAATAATTAATGTTTAGTAAATCATTTTGGGGGTTTTCTTTACATTTATTACTGAAAGGTGAGTTGTAGGGAAAGAGAAACCCAATTTGTATAAATTAGCCCACAAGTTTTAAATAATCATCAAAGGTGGCATATTCACAACTCCACTATATTATTATTATTGTTATTTTATTATTTATATAGCGCCATCACATTCCGTAGCGCTGTACATTATGGAGGCTATTTACTAAACACTGAAAGCGTATCATTTAAACTGTTAGCGGGTTTTCATTCATAATTCGTTTGTTTACGAACTCCATTTTAATTCGTGCTCAGATTATTACTACACAAACTCCCACTGTAGGTTCAATCAAGCATTTTATATATAGTCTCAATGCAGGGTTCGTTTCCAATGAAAATAATTTTTTTTGTCAATCATGTTATCTTTTTGTAACTCTGTTTATTTGTACCCTTGACATTTTCTGTTTTTTTTCGCCTTTGATCAGCAATCAATCACTGTCCTCACATTTACTTCCTTGATGTAGCCTATAAGAGTTATTCTTCAAGGCTAATTTGTTGTAAACAGAAATTGATCCTGTAATCTCCCTCATAGTTTAATGAGACTTAATTACTGCAAGATTCTCTTTTGATTGGGTTTAAAGAGGTGTTTAATCTTTGATTGGATTAGCTGTTTTCTTTCAAAATGTTATAAAGAAAACGTTTTAATGACACAAAGTCAGATAAGAAACTTAATTATAAAGAGACAGGTTGTATAAGCCGTTTATGAGTTTATGGCTGAGGTCTGGAACAGTTTAGATAAATAACAATATATCTTTTGTTTTAATATATAATACTATAAACCCTGTTTCTTATCAGGAGTCTAACTGACAGGATTTCATAAACTAAACAGCTGGGAGAATTACATTGGAACCCATAAAGCAATTAGAACACAATTTGCTAAAGGTTACAATTTCCCAATCATGAACTAAAAAAACATACCAATAAAACAAGCAGAAATGAATACTAACAGCATATGGATATCTTTTGATTAATTGATATTCTGGTAATTAATTATTGATTAGAACACAAATTAAAACCAGCATGGATACATTGATGCAGATATCCCAATGGAAAATGTATTTTAAATATAAAGCGATAGTCACAATAGGAGACTGTATACACAAATGTCAGTGTGATTGTGTAAAAGGAAAAAAAAAAGTAATTGTCCTTTCAAGGTTCTAGATTGGCCATCGTTAACTACCTGTATATTAATATTAGCACGAGGAGGTTTTATGAAAGTGGACTCATCACTCACATCGCTGGATGCAAAGTGCTGGCCTAAGGTATTTAGAATTGATATGCTGTAGGACAGGGGTAGGCAACCTTCGGCACTCCAGATGTTGTGGACTACATCCCCCATAATGCTTTTACACCCATAATGCTGGCAAAGCATCATGGGAGGTGTAGTCCAAAACATCTGAAGTGCCGAAGGTTGCCAATGCCTGCTGTAGAAGCAAATTATTTCTCTCCATTTAATGAATCAAATTTGCTGCAGCACCTGAATTCTTCATACGGCAGGGAAGTACCTTTAACACCATCAGCATGTTGAATGGCTAGGTATCCACTGAAAGATCTGACCAATCTTAGAACATTCAGTTAGTTTCCATGGCGACGAAGATTACACTGTATACAGCGAGGCTGCCCAAAAGGTAGATTCCCAGATGTTGTAGAACTCCAACTCCAATGATGTTTTGCATTCATTTACAATGCCTTTAGAATTACAAGGCATCATGGGAGTTGTAGTTTTAAAACATCTGGGGACCTACCTATTGCGCGCTCCTGACATACAAGGTTAGTGTTCTTTCAGGGTGGGATTTGGGCTGTGGTTTAGAACAATCAGATTCATATTATTCGTATGAATGACTGGCCCCCCTGGTTAATATTATCAATATTAGATGAACTCACTCCTTCTGGTTTGCTGACACGCAATTTATTAATGTTGGTGACGACACATGTAAAGTTCTGCCCTGTAGTGTAGCATTCTTATGCTAAGAGTTCCCAAATGATATTCTCGTTGCTCTTCTCTGGTGCTGTCCAATGCCCATCAATATCTATCTATCTATCTATCTATCTATCTATCTATCTGTCACCATATCTATCTATCTATCTATCATCTAATCTATCATCTAATCTATCTATCTATCTGTCACCATATCTATCTATCTATCTATCTATCTATCTATCTATCTATCTATCATCTAATCTATCTATCTAGTATCTATCTATCGCTCTATCTATATGTCACCCTATCTATCTATCTAATCTATCATCTACTCTATCTAGTATCTATCTATCGCTCTATCTATCTATCTATCATCTAATCTATCTATCTATCTATATATCTATCTATCTATCACCATATCTATCTATCTATCTATCTATCTATCTAATCTACCTATCATCTAATCTATCTATCTAGTATCTATCTATCTATCTATCTATCTAGTATCTATCTATCGCTCTATCTATCTGTCCTCGGTCCCCTTCTATTTTCTCTTTATCCTGCCTCTCTTGGCAAACTCATTAACTCCTTTGGATTCCGCTACCATCAGTACGGTGATGACACCCAGATATATCTCTCCTCCCCTGATCTCTCCCCCGCGGTCCTGCAACGTGTCACCAATTGCCTTTCTTCAATCTCTGATTGGATGTCTTCCTGCTTTCTGAAACTCAATCTCTCTAAAACTGAGCTTCTTATTTTCCCCCTCATAATGATGATCCTCCTCCTTCAATCTCCCTGCAAGTCGATGGTACTTGCATCAGTCCATCCTTGCAAGCTCATTGTCTTGGTGTTATCTTTGATCCTGGCCTCACCTTTGCGCCACATATCCAGTATGTTGCTAAAACCTGTCGATTCCACCTTTAAAATATCGCCTGCATCTGCCCCTTTCTCACGCATGATGCTGCCAAGAAGCTAGTTCATGCTCTGGTAATCTTTTGCATGGATTACTGTAATTCTCTCCTAGTTGGTCTCCCCAAAAGCCGAACTGCCCCGCTACAATCGGTAATGAATGCTGCCAACAGGCTGATCTTTCTCACCCGTTGTTCCTCCCATACCTCGCCCCTCTGTCGATCCTTACACTGGCTTCCTTTATCCTATAGGTGTCAATTCAAAATACTAACCCTTACCTATAAAGCTCTAACCAACTCTAGCGCCTCTTACATTTCTTCCCTAATCCATAGATATGCCCCTTTCCGGTCTCTCCGCTCTGCCGATGACTTTCTCCTGTCCGCTGCTTGCACCCTTACTGCTAACTTGCGCTTGCAGGACTTCTCTTGGGCAGCTCCCTTCTTTAGGAACAGCCTGCCTACCCCATCAGACTCTCCCCTAGTCCTCAATTGTTTAAGAAGTCCCTCTAAACACATCTGTTCAGAAATGTTTATGGACTCCCAGAGTAACCTATCTATACTTACCCAAGTCTGTCTCTCGCTCTCCTAAAGAGCCATACTCCACTCTCACCTCCAGCTCTGCTACTTTTCCACCTTGTTTGGTGGCTGTCACCCTTGCTGCCCTGTTGTGTATTTGTACCCCAAGCCCTCTAGACTGTAAGCTTGTTTGAGCAGGGCCCTCATCTACCTATTTTTCCTGTGTCACTGTGTAATTGTCTCATTTATTGTAAATGTCCCCCCCTTTCAGAATATTGTAAAGCGCTGCGGAATTAGTTGGCGCTATATAAATACCAATAATAATAATAATCATTATCCGTCTGTCTATCTATCTATGGTGGAACCCTACAATAAAGAGTATTTCTGCTACATTGTTATATGTAAACAATAAGTATTCCAGATAATATAAAATATCACAGCTGAGATTCTAGCTCAGCCTTATTCTGACAGTTATGGGTATATCAATAATGCGTTCTGAAATGCCATTGAGCTTATTGAGTAAACCGTGAATTATGGTGAATTAAAAATGAAATCTCCCAATTCAGGCTGACATAGTCAATGTGTAATTTTAACTAAAACTGAGAATTTTTCCATACCAACTATTTGGCCTTAATGTAGCTGTCATTTAAAGTAATTTCCTGTTTAGTGAATTAAGTCCCAGAGGATTTTATTTTGAGAATTAAGAATTTAATAGCATTAACTAAATCATTATCATTTAGCTTCTTTTTTTGAAATTCCACTATTTTATCCTAAAATCTGCAATGCTCCACGCTAATGACCCCCCACCGCGGCCCCCTTAGGTAAATAATTGGCCGCACAGTATGTATCACTCAACCCCACACACCCTGCACCGGCAAGCTAGACAATAGGTAGAGGCATTCACTACCGACCCATCCTGGAGGTCTCCTGATCAAACTGACATGTATACCCTTGATATGCACTGCAAAAATAAAGAATTATAAAAAAAAAAATCTGCAATGCTCTCTCAAATCTACACAATCACACACTAGTGACTAAACCTCATTGGGACATGGCATGTTGGATTGATGGGAATTGAAGTACAACAAGACTTGAAGAACTAATTGCCTACTTTTTACTGTGGTGCGGCGAAGCATGGACAATGAGAATTTTAGGAAGGCCCCAAATAAGCTGTTTGTCTGATCACTATGCACTTGGCTATATGTCGTGTCCTTTCAGTGATTACATTGTCTATTCATCCCACACCTTATCTCCTCCCATTTCTTTAATAAAGCTTATTACAGCCTGTCTGGGTTCTAATATAGAGCTAAATTACTCTGGGGAAATCAGAAGTGGTTCTCCTACCCCTTGTCCTCCCAGCCCTGTGTGCGGATGATTTAAAAGTAATTTCTATATGGTAGAGATTGCGTAAATCACACTGTCTCTCTGTCACTGGCGCACTGTGTATCCAGGAATATATTAACCCTTCACTGACACATAGAGCAAGCAGCCTGCGTTAACAAAATGATTTTAATAACAAATTAATTAAAGAGACTTTTGGTTATTTTTCATTTTCTGCGTAGGACGCACACTGAGTTGAGATCTGTGACAAAATTCGCAAAAAATGTCTGATCTGGAAAATAATTCTCCACCTTAGCTATAGTTAATCAATTTGACTTTTTTAACTTGAATTTTGCCGTTCAAATCTCAATTCGTAACAATTCACAGCTTTATGAATAAGACCTGAAGTCTGTTAACTGGGAATTGTATTGTATTCACCAGGAAATCTTAAATTTTAACCAAATATAGACTCCAAAATATCCTAACTGCATTGTTAGTTTTGTATTTAAAAGTAATGAGTGTGAATATTAATCACAAAATGAATTATAGTTATAATAACATAAGAAATTCTAAATACAAGAGTAAGGCAGTTTATTAACTGTCACATTCCACAACCACCTGTAGGATGACCAACAGGGATATTTACGAGAGTGAATTTCAAATTTAAGGCCAAATAGTGAAATGGAAAATTTTTCTAAGTGAACTATGTTTCCACTACAGCATCTTTGACATTGAATGGACACTATAGGCAACTATAACCATTTGATCTAATTGAATTTGCGCTGACCCCTCCATTCAAAATTAAACCATTTTCAAGCACTTTAACACTGAATTAGGGTGCCTGGTTTCCCACAGCTCCGCCCCTGCTGTGGGTGTGGCTAGGGCAAAGATTATACACTTCCTTGTAGTCATACCAATTCATACCAGCAATGGCAGCTGTTATAGTCGTGGTCAGCTGACACTTTCAGCCAATCACAGGTGCCCATTGCTGCTCAAGATAATGCTTCCTCATTAGCCCAAGCAGTACAGAGGGGATGGGATAATAAGGACACACGTTTAGAACTGAAGTGGCACTGTCACTGCCACGAGACTCCAAACACTATAACCAATTAGATGAAGCAGTTACAGTGCCTACGATGTCCCATTAAGTTTGAAATTCACTTTGGATTTTCACTTTAGTAAGTAACCTTGCACGACTTTAGAAGTATCGTTCTCCCATGTACTAGTTTATATCAGAGTCTCGCTCTGTGAGATTACGGGTCCAGGTGAATAGGTTCATAAGGTTTTTTGACAGATAAAGGAACATAAGATGCAGGTCACGGGGTTCACTAAATACCAAGATGTTTATCCAATCAGGGATTATCATGTGCAGAACACTAATGAAACAATAACGTATAAGATGAACTCTCTTGGAATCCCTGTCTACTGCAACACATGGACATTTAGCACGTACTCACACTGCATCGCGGCATGTCAGGGGATCAAAATCAGGACTCCACCGCTAAATTAGGGACTCTTGTCATGTGTGCATTATGTAGATATATAACAGTGTAAGATTAATAACCCATAAATTATTAAATTTTTAGCATTGCGCACAAACCGCACAAGCAAGGAATGAATAGCATGTTACCAGTCTATACACACATACACATATATAATTAACGAATGATCTTAGGTCGATGAGTTCATCTAACGAATTTCCACTTACAAGAAGTAAAGATAAGGTCTCACCATGACAGCTGCTTAACTTCTAGATATTCCCATTCACTATTTCCCAGACACAAACTCCTGTGATAGCAAGACAGGGTCTCCTCTGTCGAGGGAAATAGACCAAGCTGGTGGATTTTGCTGTAACTTTGCAGATTCCTTATGTCACATCCTGAAAGCCTTACTGCGATACACTATTCATGATTTATTGGAGGGACATTCACTGAGCAGTAAATTGCTGCAAACTGACAATGGAAAGACAAATGTAGGCCAAAGTAGAGGAATCTGAGACTAAAGGTAAACCATCTCTCTTTCAAGGGTCGTCTATTACAAAGTGAAAAGGTTTACTATGTGTAAATTGGTGAGGGGTAAGTAATAGTATTTGGTGTTGGTAGGTTCCCATAGAATCAAAGTAGCTACAAAACATCAAACCATTCTTTCAAGTGAAAGGATCCACAGGAACACACTTCCTGTAGAATAAATATATAAAAAGGATACAGCGGGTTAAACAGGACGATCTAAATAAAGGCGTCTGGAAAACATTTGGCTTCCATTCCTCCTACTTAGAAAAGTTGCAAAATGGATGTGAAAGATTTCATCATAAAAATGTCCCCCTCCCTTTCATTCACTGTTTATTATCTCTGGTTAATGAGCTCCTGTGTGCTGATTGCTAAGCCATTTGTCACCTGTTTATTCCCCTGCCCACCAGCCTTATCCCTGGCTCTTTAGGCTGCAAATTGCCAGTGTGTCTGTGTGTTCCCAGGCCCTGCTGATAAAGGCAAGTTATACCCCCTGCCGAGATCTGACCCAGAAGATGACAAGCGGGGTTACGCAGGCATACATATCAATCTCCTAATTTAACCTTTAACATAGAAAATAAAAGCTATTACAGAGAGCACAAATCCACCCTAGAGCCATGGCCAGCCTGGGATTGTTTTAAAGAATTTACCGGGCTTAATTAAAGGTGCCACCACTAATTATTAACTATGACTCTTACAGTTGGTTGCCTGTTCCCTATAGAGGAAGTAGTTTGTCTGCCATTCACTTTCTAACTGTCTGCAACATGTCACCTTCTGCCCAAGTTGTCCATCCATGGTTCTCCACCCACACTGCGCTATTTTCCATTATTATGAAGGATTGTGTGTGTTACTGTGAAGATGTTTGCACTGGGGCATTTGTGTATCACAGGTGTGTGTATGTCCTGGCTCAGAATTTCCACTTGCCCCTAGTTCTGCCGTGGTACGCCATCATTATATGTGAAGGAAAGGGAGGCCCAAACTGGTGACCTGGTTAGGTCCAAGGTGGGATCTTAATCATAATCTTAATCATCACACTACTAAAGGGGGAAGGGCAGAGATCCCGTACTATGACTTAAAGGGTTTTTCACTGAAGCTAGAATTCAATGTGAATTCAAAGAGAATTTCCAATGTTCAAAAATCAGCAAACTGGAAAAATTCTCTGTCAGCAATGCTTTCAGCTTGGCTACTTTGTCACTTAGAATTCACCTTGATTTTTTTCTTTAGTAAACAGCCCTGTTAGTGTTACCCTCTGAAACACTCTCTTGCTCAAAGCT